CCATGAAGGCTCTTCAATTTTTCTTCATAAACTAGAATTGCCCCTTTTGAGCTCCTGAAGCCTCTTCTCGGCAGGGTGTGCAGACAGCACGTCCTGGACCCCCCATGGGTGGTCATCTGATGTTACCCATCATGGTGCCAGGCTTCCAGCTTCCTGAAGACATGGGCTCTGTGTTTTGCTCATGTTGGCATCCCTTGAAGAACTGACCTAGACACATCATATGTCCTCGTTAAGTGAAGGTGGGCGGATGCGTGAATAAGCGCATGATGGAGAGATGGAGACACGGACAGATGGATGACAGATGAGTTGGTGGCTGGATGGATAAGTAACGGCTGGGATATATGCGTAGATGGATGGAAGGACGCATGGATAGATGGATGGGTGAACAAAAGGATGGAGGAAAGGATGGATGGATGGACGGATGAAGACTCTATAATGGACAGATGGATAATCTCTTCTCTAAAAGGATTCACAGGCTTCCCTGGTGGTGCAAGGGGTTAAGTCTCAGCACTATGAAGCTCTATCTGCAGCCACTGCAGCCGAGTTCAATCTCCAGCCAGGGAGCTACCCACATGGTGCAGCAGACCTCGCCTGTCTCGCCCACTGCTCCCCTCAGCAGTGTATTTCAGTGGATCTGCCTGTTTTGCTCCCCACTCTGTCTCTGGTAAATCCTCTCACCCTTCCTCTCCCACACCTCTGGTCTGTACCCCAGTTCTTGCATGCAGAAATAAACAAATGTTTAAAAAAAAAAAGGAAGGAATCACAGAAAGCTGTGTAATACCAGGGATGCCTTCTGGGATCAAACTCCTGCTGCAGAAGCTGTGGATTGCTTCATAATTCTGTGCTTAACCCCTTGCGCCACCACAGAGGCCCAATACCAGGGATTTTTTTTAAAAACAGGGAGCCCACTCTATGTCAAAACATGCAGAGGCGGGAACAGCCTCCAGCTTCCTTCACTAGCATATGCACCCTCAGCAACAGGTTCCCCACGGGTCTGGGTTTATTCCCACTCCCCAAAAGACAGAGTCTAGGAGCTGCCCCTTCCTTCATGCTCCCCTGGGCCCCACAGGAAAAACTCCACTAACATATATTACGCTGTGCTGCCTGCACTATAGCCACTCTCGGTTTCTCCTCCACATCCCCTTCCCTATCTCATAACACCCTAGATTGTGAGCTCCCTGAAAACAGCTCCCATGTCTGCGTCTGGCGTGGCTAGGGCCTGGCACGCATGTTTAATAGGTGAACAAATGGATAACTGAGTAAATGCCGACTCTTTTTCTCATAGGCGCACTTTGCACACTCCCCATAGGCTCCCCTTCAGCCACGCTCCTGGTGCTGTCCTCTACACACGTGCGCAGTCACTCTCCTGATGCGGAATGCCTCAAGACTCAGAATGATGGCCTGGCTCTTCATTTCACAAATGACTGTGGCTGATCTAGACGAGTCTTAGGGCTCTAAAAGGGAAGCAGATGCCTAGCTTCCCTAGAGCCATCCTCACCGGGCCTGGGAGGGCCAGAAGAAAGGCAGGTGGGAAGAACCTGGGTATTGAGAGAGTAGCCGGGCCTTGTGCTGGTCTCTGAAGGCCGCTGCCCTGCCCTGATCACCTCCCCGCATCTGGTGTCCCTACCCCGACCTCTGAGGCTGTCCCAAGGTGGGGGAGGGTTGTGGCCTCTGCCTTGAGGCTGACTGGCTGGCAGACTCGGCCAGACTTAGAAGTCATTTTCGCAGCAGGGAGCCTCCAGCCTCCCACCCACAAGGTCCTGCGGGGCCAGTCTGAGATATGGCTCACCAGGAGCCGGGCCCCAGGCCTGCAGTTGCTCTTCCCCTTTTCCCTCAGATCGTTAGTAGTTGGTGCTGACTCCACCCTTAGGCAAAGATGGAGGAAGTCTTGGGAAGGAGGGCTGCTGCACTGACACCCTAAACACCCCAGTGCTCCCCATATACCCAGTCAGGGGGCTGTTTTCTTTCATCCAGGGCTCCCCCCCACTGCTCAGCCTGGCTGCTTCTGCCTAGTCCTTCTCTTTCCCTCCCTCTACTCGCTTTGCCGTTCTCCTATTCCCAGACCCCAACACTAAAGAAATAGTCCTAGGGAGAGATAATCAAAGCTTGTAAACCTATATGTCACTCATTATATACCAGGCAATGTTCTCAGTGCCTTACACGCTGAAGCATTTAATCCTCCCAACAAGCCCATGAAAAAAGCACCATTAATGCCCATGTTTGTACACCAAGGCACAGAGCGGTGAATAACTTGCCCAAGGTGAGTATGAGGTTGTGGCAAGATTTTAACCCAGGCTGCCAGACCCCATAGTCCATAATCTAAGGTAATAGTAGGGCCTCCCAGGCCTCCCCGGTGGTGCAGCGGTTGAGCGCTGGGTTGCGAAGCTGCCCGCAGCCTCTGCAGCACCGGTTCTGTTGGGTCCACAAAGCCTGTATGGGATTAACTCAGGACATCATTTCCCCCTAACAGTTCCATCCCCGGCTGCTCCCCGGCCACCGGAGGAGGGTCCCACATGGCGCGCAGACCTCTCCTGCCGCCCACTGCTCCCCTCAGCAGTGTACTTCGGTCTGTCTGCCTGCTCTGCTCCCCGCTCTGGCTCTGGTGTACCCAGTGCTTGTGTAAACAAACAAACAAACAAATAAATAAATAAAACAATAGTAGGGCCTCCCTGGTGGCGCAAGGGGTAAAGTCTCAGCACTATGAAGCTATCAGCAGCCACTTGTAGCACAGGTTTGATCCTCCCCCCTCTGTCTCTTGTGAATCCCCTCTGCCTCCCCCCCCACCTCGGGCCAATACCCCAGCTCTTGTATGCATAAATAAATAAAATAAATCTTTAAAAAACATAGTAGGGGTGTTCAGTCAAAGAGCCACCCCCAGTCACCTTATGATTGCACGCAGCTCCTCTTGCACCAGCCCCGGAGCTCTGGAGCCCCTTGTGTGTAGTAAAATCCAGGCAGATGTTCTCAGTGTCGCCCTGGCCTTCCTCCATCTTCCCCATAGCTCGAAGCCTAGCCTCTTCTCCAACCCAGAGGGCTAAGGCACACACTTTCTCAGCTGGCCCAGGCTCACCTCAACCTGGCCTCAGTTTTCACTCCCGCCTTTGTCTTCCAACAGCACCCCTGCCTGTGCGCTCCAGTCCGCCATTGGATAAGGTGCTAACAGACCTGGTTCCCACACCCGTGCCTCTGTTTTTGCTGTTTCCAATACTTGGAGTCTCTTTCCCCAAATTCTTTCTCAGCTGCCACCTCTTCCACGGAGAGTTTCTGGATGTCATAAAATCCATGCAAACTCCCTTGTTTGACTCTATGCTACTTAACAGTCACTGCTCAATACTACCACTTACATTTTAAAAATCTTTTTAAAGATTTATTTATTTATGCATACAAGAACTGGGGTACAGGCCAGAGTTTTGGGGGATGAGAGGAGTCACCAGAGACAGAGCGGGGAACAGAACAGGCAGACTGACTGAAATACACTGCTGAGGGGAGCAGCGGGCTAGTCAGGAGGGGTCTGCTGCGCAGTATGTGGGTCAGCTCCCTGGCCAGGGATCCAACTACTTGTGCTGCAGAGGCTGTGGTGAGCTTCATAGGCTGCGTCTTAACCCCTTGTGCCACCAGGGAGGCCCCTTAAATTTTTTTTAGTGCTATCATCTTGGTGTGTTTTCATCTTCACCCCTACTCATGTCTTTCCTGGAGCCCAGACTAGAGTCTGATACCTCTCAGGTGCTCAGTAAATGCTCAATTGTTAGAATGGATGGTAATTAGAATTGTAGGTGGAGGGCAGACTTCAGGCAGACTTCAGGCACCTCTGATCTCTACCCAAAGTGAGCCCCCACTTTCTTTACTTCCTCCAGCAAGAGTCTGGGCTCCAGGCAGGTTCTGGATGGATCTTACTGGGTGACCCTGACCAGTGGTTTCCTCTCAGTTTCAGATTCCCAAGAGCAGTCAAGCCAGACCATTTGATAATGTCCTAAGCAGACCTTGGTTCCCCACTCGGTGGCCCCATCTTTGCTGTGCCCGCCACTTGGAATCCCTTTCCCCAAATTCTCTTTCAGCTGCCACCTCCTCCACCGAGGCTTTCGGCGTGCCATAAAATCCACGCGAACTCCCTTGTTTGACTCTACACTACCGAACCCCCCGCTGAACCGAAAGCCGGCCTGCGGGTGGGTGGAGAGTGAGGTCGAGATAATTGGAGACCAAAACCGTAAGTGGTTTGCAAGCAGGGACTGGGGCTCCGCAGCCAGTCAGAGGGCGCAGGAGTCGGCGGGACTCCGTGGGGGTGGGGTGGGGTGGGGTGGGGTGGGGTGGGGGTGGTGGTGGGGGTGAGGCCCTGCGGAGCGACGGAGTCTGGGCGAAGCCCCCGCGCTGCCAGAGCCGGTGGCTAAATTTACCCAGGTGACTCAGTCCCTGCCCGGAATGGGGGCGTGGGGGGTGCACCGGGCAGTGGGAAGAGCCAGCCTGGGTGCGGCGGGGTGGGGTGAGTGGGGGGCAAAGGAGAATCCCGACGGGGGGCGACAGGGTGCGCCTGGAGTCCTCCCCAGGCCCTCGCCGCGCGGAAGGAGCGGGGAGCCCGGAGGGACGCGGGCCCGGGTGGGGGCAGGAAGACCGCGGCCTGGACGCCCGGGAGCAGAGGTTTATTGAGCGCTTGCTGCGCGCTGGGCGCTGTACATACATGACCGCGTGAAATCCTCACAACAACCCTGTGAGGTAGGTGTTTCTAAACCCCCATTTGACAGATGAGGAAACTGAGGCTCAGGGAGGTGAAGTGACTTGGCCAAGCCCGCGTGGCTGTGCAGAGCAGAGGCGGAGACGTGGCCAAGACCGGAGGGAGACACACGTCGGGGTCTGGGGCCCCAGCTGCTCGGGGTGGGCGCGTCGGAGGAGGGGCCGGGCGCGCCCCGAGGCCTGGCGGTCCCTGCTCCCCTAAGTTGCCGCCACAAGGCGGGGAGCCCGCTCGCTGCAACTGGGGATCCATGGATTGACTGGTAGAGCTGGGGGCGGGGGGGGGGGCGGTGGTGGAAACTCCGGGGGAACCGCGACCTGCGCGCGCCCCGTAGTGGCTACAGAGAGTATCACACCCCCGCACCTACACATTTTGGGGTATCGACCTCCCTCTTCCTTCCCCGGCAGGTTTCTGTAAGAGGGAGAAATATAAAAAATTCCCAGGAGTTTTTCGGGCGCGGGATACCGCCTAGGTGGGAGATCGCGGTGACGATCCAGAGGCTCACTAGAGGACACTGGGGCGGGGGCAGGGGCGAGGCCTCAAAAGGTCCCGAGCTGGTTCATTGGTTGCCTTCCCTCTGCAGCTGGGACGCGCGGCCAGGGACAGTGACGAGGCCGCCGCCCTGCCCTGCCTCGGCTTCACCTAAGCCGGAGAGACTGGGGTAGGGGCCCTGACCCTCCCGCTCACTTCTGCAAACTCTAAACCTTGTCTTGGTTGAGAAGGAGGGTGACAAGGAGCCCCCCAGGGGCGCTCAGGCTCTGTCCAGTGACTCCGAACTCTCTTGGCTTGTGGAGGGGAGGAAGAGCTAGATGCCTCCCCCACGACACCCCAAAGGTCAAGAATGCACCTTGCAACGCCCTCGTTTTCCTCGCGAGGATGCCTGGAGAGAGGAAGTGACTTGCCAAGGCCACCCAGCAACTCAGCGTCAGAGCTGGGCCTGGAACCCCAGACTTGTGGCAGCACAGTCAGGAGGCGCCCGCTGATCTGTCCGGACCTCTTCCTCTTCTGCCCAGAGCCTGGCACCTGCTCACTCTAGCCCTAAGTTCCTCCATCGCTGTCCCTCTCCTGCTCTGAGGTTTCCCTGCCCAGACTCTGCCACCCGCCCCGGCCCGGCCGCTCTGCTCACCTGCTCACCTAGTGCCTGGCTCCTGCTGACGACCCTGCAGGTGTGGTCTGGATGGAGCCGGCATAGCGGCTGCTGCTCACCCTCACCTCTCCCTTCCTTGCGCTCGGGCGGCTCCTGCTGCGTGGACGGGCACAGGTATGGAGGGGCCACGGGGAGTCTAGAAGGAAGGAAGGGGCCCCGCAGGCCCGGCGGTGGCCAGGTCAGGGGCATAAATACAAGAAAGGGCTGTCACTGCCACTCTCTGCTTCGCTGCGGGGTCCCCTTAATGTCCCTCGCCCTCAAAAGGGCCTCGTCGGTCTGGCCGATGACCCCCAGGATCTCGCGGGTGTCCTCGCCCCGCTCCGCGGTCTTCCCGGCCGGCGCGGGCCGCGGGGCGTCCCCAGGCCCGGGCGGGGGCCGCCGTGTCCGCCAGGAGGCGCCCGAGGCCTCCGTGTCGCTGCCATCCGAGGAGCCGCTGTGGGCGCTGCGCTCCGCAGCCTCGTCCGAGTCCGAGTCCGGGGCCGTGTGGCGGCGGATGCGGGACACGGCCTCGCGCAGGGCGCCCGCGTAGGGCCCGGGGCCGGCGGCCGGCCCCGCCCCGCGCGCCTCGGCCCTGCGGCCCCCGCCCCGCAGCCCGCGGCCTCGCCCGAGCCTCCCGGAGCCGCCGGGCCCTCGGCCGAGCGCGCGGGGCTCCCCGGCCGCGCGGGGCCTTTCTGCAGCCTCGCCTCGCCGGCCCGGAGCCCCGGCACACCCGCGGCGCGCTCCGCCCCGGAGGGGTCCCCCGGCTTCCCGCCCTCGGCTTCGACTTCGCGGCCCCCGCCGGGCTGGGGAGGCGCGCGGCCGCGCGGCGGCGGCTTCTGGCGCGGGGAGGACCCGGCGCGCGCTCGCCCTCCTGCGCGCGGGGCTGGGGCGGGCCCGGGGCCTCCCCCTCCCCGCGCGGCGCCCCGGGCGCGAGCTGCCCCTGCCGGGCTCGCGGGGCCGCCACGTACCGGGCCCGGACCGCCGCGCGCGTGGCGTCGATGACGAAGACGCCGCCGGCGCCCGCGGGGCCGCGGGAGCTGCGGGGCAGCGTGTGCGCGCGGCGGGCCGCCGTCCAGCTCCCCGCGGTCTCCGGCCCGACCCCCAGCGCCTCTCTCCAGCCCGTCCCCCCGGGAGCCCAGGGTCTGGGAAGGGTCTGGCTATGTTGGGGTGGCTGCTTTTTAATGGAGGGAATCCAGCATTTGGGGGGCCAGTTCTGTTCTCTACCTTCTTTCCCGTCCCCCGAGCTCTTGGCGGGGGGCCTGGACCTCGGGGCCGGGCGCGGGAGGCCGGGAGCCGCCGCCGCGAGCCCCGCAGGCGCCGTCTCCGAGGCCGGGCGCCCCGCAGCCGTGGCCTGGGGGGGCCCGTCGCTGCCGCCGCTCCCGCCCGCCGCAGCCGGCCCGGGCTTTCCTCCGCCGCCGCCTGGCCGCGGCCAAGCTTCGCCCTCACCGTCCCGCAGCCTGAGGATCCCCCCAGGAGACCCCGGCCGGGGCGAAGACCCCAAGCCCCGAGGACGTCCCGGTAGATTCGAGGGTCCAGCCTCTTCTTCGCGCCCCCTCCCTCTGTCCTGGCCGGAGCCAGCGCCGGGGCCGGCGAGGGGGGCGCCTGGCGGGGCTCGGGGCCTCGCTTGGCCCCCAAAGTCCGGTGCGGGCCCTCGTAGGAAGGCGGAGCCACGTAGGGCGGCGGCCGGTCCCAGCGGCGTCGCGGGGCCATCCCGGCGGCGCCTCTCAGCAGCAGGTGAGCCTCGTAGCTGGGGGGCCCTGCGCGCCGACCTGCCCAGGGCCCCGCCCACGCCGCCCCCGGGTCGCCCTGCGGCTGCGCGCCCGGACGCGCGGGGCGCCCCACCAGCCCGAGGCGCGGCGGCCGGGCGAGAGCGGGGAGTCCCGCGGCGGGCGCCGCCCGAGGGGCGCTCCGGGGCTCCGGGCCGGCCCAACCCGGGGGGCTCCTTCGGGCCCAGCAGCCTTGCGCCTTTTTCTCTCCGTCTCTTTGGCCTCCCGCTCCTGCGACGCCGCCTTCCTTTTCTCCTGCTCCCGGACTCGGGCCTCGGCGGGGGCCCCACCCGCCAGTTGGTCGCCTCCTGCAGCACCCTGGAGGCCCAGGACCGGCGGGGCGGCGGCTCGGGGGATCCCGGGGGCGGCCCACACCTGGGACAACGAGCAAGAACCCAGGTGAGCAGCTGGCGAGGGAAGGGAGCGGAGGTGCGGGCGGCTGGGAGCCCGGGGACCCCCGAGGACTGCGTGTGGCGGGGGGTGTGTGGGTGCGCGGGCGTGTGTGCACGTGCGTGTGTTCGGGCTGAAGTCGGAGCGGGGCTCCGCACCCCCTTCCACGTACACTCTACAGCGTCTGCCCACCTGCCCTCCTGCCCCTCCTCAACCCACGCCTGTCCCCCAAAACGGGCGCGTTGAGTCTGGTTCTCTCGGTGTGAGGACTTGGGGGGAGGGCCTGGGAAAGAGAAGGGGGACCGGCGGCGTTGGCTGACGCCTGCGGGGAGGTCCGGACCCCACTCCCCGCCCCCCTCCCCCTCCCCTGACCCCGCTCACTCACGTGCGGCTCTGGGTCGCGCGGGCCCAGTGGCCGGGCTGGAAGTCCATGGGCTGTCGAGGAGGGGCGCGGCGGCTGTAATGACAGGAGATGGTCTTCACTTCGATCACCAGCAGCTTGGACTTCTGCACCCAGAGGCAGCTGCCAGAGTCCTCATCCTGGAACTCCCGGGGGCTGTCGGGCCCCTCGGAGAAGAGCTGGCCATCCAGCATCCTGCCCCACCCCACCCCGGCCCCCCACCCTCCCACCCTCCCCTAAAGCCCCCTCCCAGCCCTGGGAGCCGGCGCCCACTGCAGAGCGGCGGACCCAGTAACTGGGGACTATATATACCCGGGCACACGTGTGTGCCTGTGTGTGTGTGCGTGCGCATGTGACACGGAGCGGCATGGCTCCGCGTTGCTACCTCCCCCATGTGCAAGCCCCCCCCCCCCCAGGACTGGGCGCCCCTTCCCACAGCGCTTTCCCCCCAGCGGATGGGAAGTGCAGGACTTATTATTCTTAACAAACTGACAGGGCCCCCCACCTCCGCCCCCATTTCTTGAGCCTTCTTGCCAGTTTTAACCCTTCACTCTCCTGCTTGTCAGGGTGCCTTACCCACCGGGGTTCTGCCCCAGACTTCCTGCCCCGGACTTCGGCTTCTCTGATAAAGAGGTGATGGGAATGGAACTCAAGGTCTCTCCCTGCCACTCTGCTGGTTTCCATGGGGTTGGGGTGCAGGAGGGGCTGGTCCAGGCAGGGGGGCTATTTTTAGCGGCTGTTCGGGTGCAGAGATGAGTAACCAGCTTCCATGTAGGGAGGGAGGAGGCGGTGGCTTTCTCTGCTTTTGTGTGACTCTGGGGGAAAGCTACCTCCTCCAAGCTCAAAAAGAGTGACCCCCCACACCCTCTGTCTTGGCCACAGAAGCTGCCCCACAACTACCGTTCCAGGTGTTTGTCCTTGGGCAAGCATGGAGCCCTCTCCCAGCAGCAGGTTCTCTTCCCCATTCCAGAAGCCAGGGCTTGGCTTTTGTGTGCCCACATAGTTCTGCTCAGCCTTTTAGAGGACAGACTAGGGTGCTTATATACTTGCAACCTTTCTGAGGTGACGAGGAATGGTGTTTCCTGGCCAAAATCAATCCCCTAGCAACTGAAATAGTAAGCAGCGCCTGTTTGTCTGCAGAGCTCTCCATCCCCACTACCACAGGCCTGGGTCACTCAGCACCCCCACCCCACCCCAAGTGGTGCTCAAGATGCTCACCTTTCAGACTCATTCTGTCCTAGGAGGTTGTTGCTTACAGCCACATGATTCTTTCCTCCTAAGCCTATACCAGGTGTCCCCTGATTCACCATGGTAATGTTAGTGGCAGCACAGCCCACGCCAACCCTTCCAAGCAGAGACTTAGCAACCATGCCTGGCAACCATGGCAGCAGCTCCAGTGGAGGGGCGGGAGGGGTGTGAGGAGAGGGGGAGAGTGTATGGTAATGGTTCTGGAGGAAGAAGGGATAATTTGCCCGAGAGGAATATGTAAGAATAGAAAGCTATGAGGGTCCTAATTTTGTCCCTTGTCTTCCTTTTCTGCCCCATCCTCAGTCTTGAGGCTGGTTAGGGGGAATGGGAGAAGCAAGAAACCCCAATGTGTTTTCTAGTAAAGAACATGCAAGGCAATGCTTTGGGGACAAGGGGTGGAGAGAGGAAGGTTGTTGTGGGGTAGAGACTGACATACTAAGAACCAAAGTAACAAAACCCAGGCCCTCTGCCCCCTAACACACAGACCTATAGTCAGAACCCGAACATTCCCTATCCCATCCACTTACCTCCCGCCGCCACACACCTACCAGCTGCACTGACAGCTCTTGAAGTCCTTCCTTTCACTCCAGGGCTTGCCAGAGTCCTAAGGCTTTTTAAAGTCCCTGCCTTCTCCCTGTACAAACCCACCTTCAGGATGGAATGTGACATAAGGAGACATCTGTCCTTTCCACCATGCACCCACCCCCACATACATAAACATGCTCCAATAACTTGGAAACCTCCTCCCGCAAGTCTGGGAATGTGCTGAGAGAGCTGTGAAGAGGTGAACACAGAAGCGGGGGCTTCTTTGAAACCCAGAAGCCCTACAGAAAGCTGAACCCTGATGAGTGCCTTAGTATTTTCCCCAAATCCCATCAGGAAGCCTGCTTTGGGGGAATCAGTATGGTGTGGCTAGGTTCCTCAGGACTCTCGTGTTGTGCAGGTAGGGGCAAGGAGTCACTTGCTTCATGTCTTGGAGAGAAAATGATATCCTACAAAGCAGTGGTGAGACGTTACCCAGAATTCAGCTTATCCCCAACAGTCTAGCAGTCCTATGGAGTTGGGTGCTGAATCCCATTTTGATCCACATGGTCAGCACAGGAAAAGGTCTGATGGCTGACCATAGTCTTGCTGCTCCTTCACACCCACTCTCTAGCTCATTCTCCCCTTGGAAGAAAGGCCGGGAATCTGCAAGTTCAAGGACAGTGCCAACTTAGCAAAACAGAGTCCAATCTCCTCTAAGAGGAGGTGATGATGGCAGGTCTGCCTGAAGGAGCTCTTCAATCTGTCTACTCTTTGGAGAACTAATACTTCACGGCATTTTTCTGGAGTCCCAGCTGTGCTACAGGCAGAGGGCAAAATGAGGTAATAAGAATTGCAAGGAACAGAGTAAGAAACATTTCATCAATGAGTGTTAGAAAAGCAGTAAGTGTAGTGTGATAAAGGAGCATGAGCTGTTGGGGCCTCCCCGGTGGCGCAGCGGTTGAGCGCTGGGTTGCGAAGCTGCCTGCAGCCTCTGCAGCCGGTTCGATCCCCGGCTGCTCCCCGGCCACCAGAGGAGGGGCCCACATGGCGCGCAGACCTCTCCTGCCGCCCGCTGCTCCCCTCAGCAGTGTACTTCGGTCCTTCTGCCTGCTCTGCTCCCCGCTCTGGCTCTGGTGAATTCTCTCACCCTCCCACGCTTCTGACTGTACCCAGTGCATGTATCAAACAAACAAACAAACAATAAATAAATAAAATAAGACATGCCTCTAGAAAATTTAAAAAAAAAAAAAAGGAGCATGAGCTGTGGAGTCAGCCAAACTGTTTGGGTTCCAATCCAAGCTCTACTTTACATTAGCTGTGTGATCTTGGGCTAATCACTTAGTCTCTGTGCCTGAATTTAAAAGTAAATCTATAAAACTGGAATATCTACCCTTGTTCTGAAGATTAAAAGACTTAAACATGAATCATTATTAATAGCAGTCAGTGTTTAATATTAAATGAATATACATAAAACACTGAGACTGGTGCTCACAGCTTCGTGTGTGGAGATGTGTGTCCTATTCTTATTGCTGTTGCTGCTGAAGAAGCCATACGAAGCAGGAAAGGTGAGAGCAGCAGTGTCTATCAACTACAAAAAACAAACACCGCAATACCATGAAGAGGTTCCTGTCATTTTAATTAGGTTTACCATAAAAAGCAATAACCTCAGCTAACCACTCGGTCCTCCTCCACCTCACCCAAGTCTCCCCTCAAATGCCTACGGCACAGGAACCCAAGGCCCTCCTCCCTACAACCCTCCCCACTTCCCATTATGGGAAGAAATGTCTCTAAGTGGACTCAGCCTCCTCCATACAGCATGAAACAGAATGAATAAAAATATCTTTTAAAGACGTTTGTTGTGCTATATTATCTCAGGGCAGAGTCAAGGGCAGAGAGAGAGGGACTGGCTGGGTGAGGCCTGGGGATCTCTTAGAGATCAGATTTGCCTGAGGGGGAAAGAGTCCATCATTTACCCAGAAAGGGGGCGATGTCTAAGAGGACAGGGGCTAGGGTGGGCGAGACTCCACCGTTTGTTCCCCTGTGTGTGAGGATAAGAACAGCTGAGAATCCACTCTCTTTCCTCCACACTCTTTCGCGGCCGCAGACAGAGGCGAGGTGGCGCCTGTGCAGAGCATGGAGTCACAATTCTCTCAAGGTTTCATCTGTGGTTCCCGGAGCTGTGGGCAGGCAGTGAGTGGGGATCTCCCTCAGCGCTACCTGGCCTGTCCCCCCCCTCAGGGCTTCTTCTCTCCTCCTGTGAGCACCAGGGCCTGCAGGATATCAGACAGCGATACAATGCCCTTGACCACATCATTCTCATCCACCACTACAAGCCGGTGCACCTGGCACAGAGCAACAAGGGAGAAAGAGGATGTTTAGTGCCAATCTCAGGTGCTCCTACCATCCCTGCCAAACCCCACTCTGTAGGCTGCTCCCCCTACCTCTGCTTCCACCAGCCTGTTGATTATGGTCTCCAGGGTCTCATGCAGGTAGCACTTGAGGACGCCCTCGAAGTAATGCGAGCGATGCTGCAGGGCCCTGGTCACAGACACGTCCAGGTTGTTGTAGGTCTTCTCTGCAGCCAGGTTCTGGGGCGGGAGAGGAGGATGCTTGCAGGGACGCAGGAAGCTGGGCCCCCAAGCCCCAAGCCCTCCCAGCCTCCCCAGAGGCGTTCAGGGTAGTTATTAGCCAAGCCCACAAGCCACAATCAGCTCATTCAATTCCTTTTCAAATAGGACGTGAAAACCTGCAAGTTTTCAAAGACTCTCTTCCCACAAAGACTGTCTTCCCTCTTCACACGCAACACCCCGCCCCTTTCCCTACCTCCCCGCCCCTCCACGATCACTCACGATAACATCAAACTTGGAGTAGATGTCCACCACACGCCCTAGGGGGACAGAGGCAGCTCAGCGAGGAGGATCTGGCATCCAAGGATCCCTCCCCTCCTTCCACAGAATCACCCTCCAGGCTGAGCTGAGGGGACAGATTTTCCCAAACCCCCCCCCCGAATCTCCTTGGAGACCTCCCTCTCCTGCCCAATGTCTCACCTTTCTCATCTACCACTGGCAGGGCTGAAACCCGGTGCTGTACAAAGATGCCCAAAGCCACATAGACTGGGGTGGTAGTGCGGACCATAGCAATATTGGCATAGGTGCCAATCTGTAGCTCTTGCAGAGACTTAGACATGAATTCTGGCTTGGGGAACTCAGTGATCTGAGGAAAGAGCCAACAGCTTGATTTTTAAGGTTCCCCCAAACCACTCCTGAATATCCCTCCAATCCAGAATAAAAGAAGTAAAAACTGGGGAAAGGAACACTTACAAATAATTTGAGGAACTTGAGAATGCGCTTATGGGTGAGGATATACAAAGTGTTGCCTGATTCCGGGTCAATAACTGGCAGCCTGTGGATCTTGTTTCGAATTAACGAAGAGACAGCATCAAATAAGCTGTGGGAAGGTGGGGGGCAGTAAGTTCCATAGTGCTGGGGCTAAGGGTGGTTAAACAGCTCTTTAGAGTATGTTTAGAAACAGGGAAAACTGGTGGTTGAAGGAAGGGGGCAGAGGTCCGAACAGAACTAAACAATGTGTGTGTGTGCGTGTGTGAGAGAGAGTGAGAGAAAGAGAGCGAGCGCACAAGAGAGAGAAAGAGAGAGGGTGTGTGTGTGTGTGTGTTTGAGAAGAGAATTTTCTCTCTTCTGCCCCTGGATCTTTTGGTGTTTACAGCTTTAGTTATGCTGATAAGTCTCTTCCCCTTCTAGAAAAATGGGTAGCTAGAACTCACCTGGCATTAGGAGAAATGCAGACAAGCGGTTTAAAGGAGTCCTGTAGATACACCTCTGAAGAGAAAAGGGAGGCTCATAAACTACAAGTGTTGAAAACGGTTTCCCAGGAATTCTCCATCCCTTTATCCATTCCTAGCCCCAATTCTCAACGCACCTCTCCAGGTTTCTATCTTGTGTTCTTCTAACTCATAGATCTGTACCTGGAAGAAGCAGCAACAAAATTTAAGAGTTGCTATCCCTCCTCCATTAACCCTTGCGGCTTGCTTGAAGGAAGAGAGATGTGAGAGGGTAACTTTGGAGAGGAGCAGTCATTTTGGTCACTGGGCTAACATTTCTTACCAAGGCTGATTTATAGTAGCGATGCAGGATATTGATGAAATCAGTGATGGTCAGCATGCCTAGAGGCCAAGACAAAGAGTCCTCAGCACTGCTCAAAACTTCCCTCCCCTACTAGCACAAGATGCTGATAATATGGTGTTCCAAAAACTTTTGCTTACCTACGAAACTTTGCTTCTTACTGTCCCACAAAGGGGCAGCTCGTACTCCATTAGTCACTAAAGCAAAGAAAGCCTTCTTCACCTAGAGAGAGCCAACAAGAGTAATAATCACAAAGGAAATTCAGTTGGGAGATTTCAAAATATCAGGATTGGGTGTTCTGGGGAAAACGCAAGACTAACCCCAAAGAAGGACAAGGATATTACCCTTGGTGAGAGAGACATGACGAGAGGTTTGAACCACAGGCTCTCAAGGAGGGAGAAAGGAAAGGACGGTCACCTACCTGCAGGGAAGTATCAAATACGACCAATTTGGAGCTTGTGGGTATCAGGTCATAGCAGCGATGAGACTTCATGAAGGAAGTATACACGCTATTGTTGGACTCTGGGGTCTCTGCATAGGGTGGGATAGTTAGTAGCATCCTTCCATGTAACAACTCACAATCAAAGAACACAAAAGTGCTGGAGAGCTGCTGAAATAGTTGCAAAATAGTTGCCAAATTTTAAAAATAAGGTCAATAAATAAAATAAGGTTTTATTATTGTCCCCACAAAATCTGGATAAACTCCTTAGAAATCACTTCCTCCAACCCTGATCTCCAGGTGGGACTATATCTATCGGCTCCGTAGGCCAAAGATGGCTGCTAACACAAAACCTGTACTATCCTCATTAGCCTGTTCTAGCCTTAAGTATTTTCTTACCTCTCACTAAAGTTTTCCTTTTCATATAGTCACTATATTTTCACTTGTTCTCTTTTCTCAATTAAGATGTAGTTGTTTCTTAAATTCTTCTGAGACCCAAAGATGTGAGTCATAGTCCAAGTTGTGCTATTTCAGATCAAACTAGACTGGAGCCTAGAGCTAATCAGCCTGGCCAAGATGACCCTGAGAATCCATCTTGGGATGGCCTTGTGAATCAGAAATCATTCTATATGCTCTATGTTTTTAAGCACATCTTATTTATTTTTATTTATTTTTGCATAGAAGAACTGGGGGGCAGGCCAGAGGTGGGGAGGGGTAAGAGGATTCACCAGAGACAAAGTGGGGAGCAGCAGGCGACAAGAGATGTCTGCTGCACCATATGTGGATTAGCTGCCTGGCCAGGAATTGAACTCAGGCCAAAGGGGTGATGGTGCTGAGACTTAACCCCTAGACAATCAGGGAAGCCTCCATTCTACATACTCCAGAAAAATGGGAGACCATGGATGTGCTACCTTTCCATTCCTCTGATTTTAATTGCTTGCTCTAAACTGGAAAAGCACCCCTCCCCCATAATAGCCTGAATGTACTACATACTATGTGTACTTTTTTTTTTTTTTTTTAAAGATCTATTTATTTATGCATTCAAGAGCTGGGGTACAGGCCAGATGTGCAGGAGGTGACAGGACTCACCAGAGACAGAGTGGGGAACAGGACAGGAAGACTGACTGAAATACTCTGCTGAGGGGAGAAGCAGGCAAGACAGGAGAGGTCCGCTGTATCATATGGGTTAGCTACTGGCCAGGGATCAAACTCATGCTGCAGGGGCTGCCGAAAGCTGCATAATGCTGAGACTTAACCCCTTGTGCCACCAGGGAGGCCCCCTACTATGTGTATTTAAAAATATTACATAATTTAATCCTTACAACAAATCTGTATGGTAAATACTGTCCACATTTTTCATATGAGAAAACTGGTGGAAAGTAGTTATAAATAAACTACTCAAGGTCACCTACCATCAGTATGACAAGAAAGACTCAAACACAGATTTACTTGATTCTGAAGTTCATGCTCTTTAATCAGTTGTTTATTTTTAATTTTTTACCCAAGTATAACCAAGGTTATATAGTTACACAGTTTAAAAAGTCAAACAGTTCTACAAATACTGTTTTAAAAAACTGCAATCCCTGGCACCCACCTCCTTGTACTACTCCTAATCAAAGATGGGTCCTCTTTTAACTGATTATTTGGTACTTAGAGTTTTTAGTTCTCTTTCTACCAGGACTCCACAAACATGAACCTCCCACCACCTCTACCCACACTTTTCCAGAAGTTCAACTACAATGGTGGTTACATCATTATTTCAGTAATTTCGACTAAGTATTTATTGCTCAGAGCTAAACCAAATAGTAAATTCTCATTTTTTTCTTTCTTCCACAACTTCTTCCTAGGGTTAATAATTATTTTATCTTTTTATTTGCTTAATTCTCTATGCATTAATACTTATAACTAATTCAACCCCCAAACTCTCCTTTCAAGAAGTTCAGAAGCATTAGCCTGCCAATTTAAACTACCAAAGTCTTCTCTGGAGTCTTCTGACCTGCTCGAATCTGGGCTGTCGGGCTGGTGAGCACTGCTATCACCCTGACAGCTTTCTCTGGTCACTACCCAGGAAGCCCATGCACACCTCCAGTACTGACGCTCCTGTACTCTGTGGCCCATGTTTTCATCTTTTTTTTTTTTTTTTTTTTCCAACCCCCATGTTTTGGTGGAGCAAAACAAGCTTCCAGTAGCTTTTTAGGAAACAGTGCATGGAAAGGAAATTTTTTGAGAACTTGTGCCTGCAGGTATTTTTATTTTACCTTTATCTTTATAATTTGGCTAGATATAAAATTCTAGGTTGCAATTTATTTTCCTGCAGAGTATTAAAAATATTGCTCCACTGTCTTTTAGTTTGGGTGTTACGGAGGGTCTAAGGCAATTTTGATCCTTGGTTTATTCTTTCTGGGGACTTAGGGTCTTCTTTTTCCAGTGTTCTGAAATCTGATGATTGTGCTTTGGTTGGGTCAGTTTCATTCACTGTGCTAAATAATCACGAGTCTTTTCACTAGGGAAACTAATACCCCTCAGGAAATGTTCTTGAATTGTTTCCTTGATTATTTCTTCCCTCTGTATTGTCATTTTCCTCTATCTGTAATTCCTATTATTTAGATACTGGATTTCCTAGACTGTTCCTTTGTCTTTGTTTTAAAAATGTCTTTTCTGTCCTATTTTCCATTTCTTTGATTTTTAATTCTACTTTCTGGGAGACTTTCTCTGCTTATTTTCAAACATTTATGCTATTTTCAATTTCTAAGAGCTCCTTTTTGTTTTTCTAAAATTCTCTTTTTAAAAAATTGTATCCTGTACTTGTTTCATGGTGAAAATATGTTCTTCTGAGTATAAAACAATGTTAATTTTATTTTATTTTCTAAAGATTTATTTTTCATACAAGAACTGGGGCACAGGCCAGAGGCATTGGGCGGGGGGTGAGACAGAGTGGGGAACAGAACAGGCAGATCAACCAAAATACACTGCTGAGGGGAGAAGCAGGGGAGTCAGGAGAGATCTGCTGCGCCATGTGGGTTGCTCCCTGGCTGGCCGGGGATCGAACTCGTGCTGCAGTGGCTGCAGATAGCCTCGCAGTACTGCATCTCAACCCCCTGTGCCACCAGGGAGGCCCTAAAATAATGTTAATTTTAAAAGTTTTGTTCTCTATGCATTAACTTTTCCTCTCCATTGCTTTTTTTTCCCTTTTTTTTTTGGGGGGGGGGAAATGTGTGTATGGGAGTACAGTTTAGACCACTCTTTTCATGTTAGAGATTTTCTTTAAATGTCGGGTAATCCATGGTTTAAGGAGGATTCAAAACATATTTAACAGCGCAATCTTTAAAGCTGATTAGAACCTCTAAGTATGTAAGTAAACTTCATTGCCTGTTATTTAGATGGGACACCAATACTAAGTCTTTCCGCTTAAGGGCATTCTGAAGAAAATTCAATTTGCTCTTGGAGGGTAAAGTCTTTTCTGTCACCATTCTGGAAACTGAATGGGGGGAAGTGGGATCTCAGCATCTAGTAGTTTGTTTTGCTTCATACTCCCGTTTCTAGTACATACTTCAGCCCTCAAACAGTTCTAAGGCCTTTCCAACACCGCCATTTTTGCCAAGTTGGGAGCAAAATTGCCCAGCTGCTCTCAGTGCAACAGGGAGTCTTGCGATCTGACCGCTTCTTAGGCCATCAATGCTGCTTGGCTTTACCTACTGCTAGTATGTAATTTGGTCTTCTCAGGTCTGCCAAGTCATTTACCGCTCTTCTGTTTGCTTTCCAGCTTCCAAAAACTCACTGCTATTGTCTCTTCTCTTGTTTTCCCTATTCTGGTGGGTTTGTGACTTTTTTCCTAAATTCCTTTATAGTAGTTTTAGTAGTTTTCTGTGAAGGGATGGAAGTAGATGTGTGTATTCAGTGCATCACCTTTAACTGGAAGCCCAGCATTGTTTCTCTTTTCTTTTCTTTTTTTTTTAAAGATTTATTTATTTTTATACAAGAGCTAGGGTACTGGCCAGTGGCATGGGAGGGTGAGAGGATTCACCAGAGACAAAGTGGGGAGCAGATCAGGCAGATAACCAAAATATACTGCTGAGGGGAGCAGCGGGCGGGACAGGAGAGGTCTGCCATGCCATGTGGGAATCTCCCTGGCTGATCAAGAATTGAACCCGCAGAGGCTGCGGACAGCTTCACAGTGCCGTGTACTCAACCTGCTGCGCCACCAGGAAAGCCCCCAGCATTGTTTTTCAAACAATGAAAACTCAGACTCCTAAGAAATTGTTTTTTGATTCCAGTTTAAGTCATGCTACCTTAATAGTTAAAAACTATCATTTTAGGCCTATAAATATAGTCCTATATGTTTATATATTTAGTGCTATAAATATACTTGAAATGGCTTTCCCAGTATTTAAAAATAATTCAAATGAGTTAAATTTTAAAATCTGGAGATTTATATAAAAATCTAAATTCCCAAGTTTCCTTTAAATATCAGAACATCTGACGAAACTAGATTTTAAATTCCTGAGTAGTAACAACTGACTAGGCAAGCCTAGCTGCTGTCTCCTCTCAGACATCACAGGCATATGCAGCCCATTTCATTGATGGATCCATGTAGAAAATCTGCGTTTTTAACCCCTGCCTTGGTTCTAATGCATATGCACTCAGAAACATAAAACAGGCACTGATATTACGTGGCAATGCTACAGCATGAACGGTCATCCAGATAATTCAAAACATGACTACATTAACTTTCTTGGATACCGACAAAATGAAAACAGAACATTTAAAAATTCTTGCGAAGAACTCACAGACCCTTAATAACATGTCCTAGCATTTCAGCCTATACATCAACCCTCTGAGAAAGTGTATATCCTAATGATATAAATGTGTCCTACAAAGACCTAGGAGGGTTCCTGGGAAATATTTTTTTAGCAGAGATGCCTGTAAGTTCTGGTTCTCTCTAGATGGACTTGGGTAAGCTATTCCATCCTAACCAAGTATTGGAAGCAAGTGTTGGAATTGCCTTCTCCTGTACCCTGGATTTTAGGGTTAATGCCTTTATTTCTAGACTTATCCCAAGGGTTCTTAAGGCCTTTCTATAATTTCTTCCATTTTATTTAAAAAATAGTTTATTTTATATAATTCTTACATCATTTTTCATTTTTGCACAATGTATGCATTTTCATTTTGGTTATATTCCCCATACAATTGCACCCCCCTTATTTTGACCCTATTCATTTTTCTCCCCGCACCCCTCCCATAATTTCTTATGTACACTTAGTACACACGATTTAGTGAGCTCACTAAATGCTAGCTAGGATGATAAAAATCCTAGAGGCACCACTTCTGAGTTACTCAGAAAGTAACCAGAGACTTTCAAAACATGGTCAGCCAGCCCAGAGCTGCCCATGGAAGTTTCCCCTCAAGTGGTATGATAGGTGAAGATATAAATCATCCCCACTCTGCCCAAGATTTATTCCCAGGTGATCTTGCCAAATTATTGTTTCTGATTTGTATGGTTTGGCTTTGATTTTCCCTGGGGAGACCCCAGGAGATACTCAAAAGCACTGCTGAAGACAAGATAGGGTCCGGCTACTAACTTCATACCCATTTCCTTTCTTTAGGAAACTTACCTTGAGGATGCTCATTTTCTAGAGCTGGGGAGCTATCTGAAGAAGTGACCTGGACAGACAAGAAAAGCAAGGATTCAGTCTATCCTAGGTTCTGTCCATTTTAGCCTAGTCTTGAATTAAGGTCTTTCTTTCTTTCTTTCTTTTTTTTTTTTTTGGTGGGACCCTCGCCTGTGGCTGGGGAACGAAACGGCACTGCAGGGCTGCAGGCAGCCTCGGGGGAGGGCCGAATTAAGTTCTTTCTTTAAAGCACTTTAAATCCCTTTCAAAATGTTATCTAATTTAGTTTCTTAACAGTCCTGACATAAATTATTCACCCTTTTTTCACAGATTAGGAAACTGAGAGTCAACAAATATTAAGCATCTTACCCAAGGTCACATGGCTGGTAGGGGTGGAGGAGAGATTGGAACATAAATCTGCATGACTGTAAAGCTCATGTCCTTTTATACTACACTGCCTACTGAAACTTAAAAGCTGAGATTAGAAAGCACAAGATTCCTACAGATCTACTTTATAAAAACATAGAAGTCAGAGAAACAACACTGCTTTCCCCCACTCACTCACTAAGCATAGTCATGGGTACTAGAATCATTGACACGTCCCTTACATTGAGGGAGGACCACACCTGGGTAGGAATCCAGCAGCTGTCTGTCAGAAAGAAAGTCAATGCATGAATAACCGAGGGGTAGATACGGAGCATAAAATAGGTTGTTCAGGTCCTCAGCTGGCTGCTAAGCCTAGAAGATACTGGTTTTCCAAGTTTACTTACCCACAACAGCCTGAGATTAGAGAATGCTTTGAGTACAGAGAAACCTTCAGAATCATCTCTGTGCTCCCTCAAGTGGGAACATTTGGAAATTTCATTGTTATTTAGAAAACCTGGAGGGATCATCATTTTCACCCACTGGAATTTACAGTTTGGGATCCATTTGCTCTGGGTAATATCCCAAAACTAACTTAAAGTCATGCTTCACCCCCATAGCTTCTGTAGGAATAAGAAGCTGAAGGCCTTAGCCTGAACGGTGGAGGGTGGCTAGTATACAGGGTTAAGCTGGCAGGACAATCCTAAATTTTCTCCCCTAACAGGCCAGGATGGGGACAGGGGGAAGAGGGAGGAATAATCTTCCTCTTCTCTCTGGGTTGCATAAGACTATCATCTGGGCCTCGTAATTTGGCAAGCCTAAGGGAACAACAGCCTAGCCACTTACAAGTGGGAGACAGGGCTGTTCAGTCATAATGATGCAGGAGTGTCTCACAGACATCTCTGCAAAGATACAGAAACAATACCCACCCAAAGATACACTGTGCTGTGCAACAGTTATTTTGTTTATCTAACCAAACAGATGGTAAATTCCTGGAAGCCTGGAACTATCTTATACTTCTTTATATATATCACTCATAACACTGAGCATGGAGTTTTCAATATATTTCTTAATTTTTTAATCTTTCTAATGGATAATGATAATAATGTACTCTAATATGAACAAAGACACCTAAGACTCAGCTACAGAATGAAAAGAAGAGTTGTACAGCTTGAGATACAGATAACTTAAAGAGTCAGACACAATTGAAAATGTGACTTCGTCTTTCTACCCATTTCTCCACAGCGGGGTGGGATAATCATGACTGTCCCTCTCTATTTCTAGTAACATAGGGGACTGGAGAAAGTACCACTATATTACATAAGTCTAAAATATTATTAGAGACATGGCTAGATGTGACACATAGACTCACAATTCCTTCCAAACTCCTGATCCACATTTCTTTCTTTCTTTTTTTTTGGAGGAAAAAAAAAGATGGACTTACACTGCTAAGAGAAGCAGAAGGCAAGACAGGAGAGGTCTGCTGTGCCTCCTGATCCTGTTTCTCATTGTTCAACAACCAGAGTCAGAGAGACTCCGCAAATGATTCAACACAAAACAAAATAGCGCATGTCCTCCCACCCCTTTCTTCTTCCATGGTTCCCCACCTTTGTTCTGTTTTTGCTTTTCTGTGTTCCCAGGTACCAAGAATGAGTTATGCCAACATGTCTGGTTCAAACTACAGAGGAGGGTATCACCTAAACTTGTCCTTAACATCTATCAGCTAATCTGATCTGTGAGGGATGTCTCAACTTCATCTCGGCGAAAACTTAGCTTTCACCTCTCATTTCTGCAACGTTCTTTAAATCAGTTTTTCTGCCCTAAGCCATGGCCTCAATTTATCTTTTTTTTTTTTTTTTAAGATTTATTTATTCATTCATTCATACAAGCACTGGGTACAGTCAGAAGCGCGGGAGGGTGAGAGAACCCACCAGAGCCAGAGCAGGGAGCAGAACAGGCAGAAGGTCCGAAGTACGCCGCTGAGGGGAGCAGCGGGCGGCAGGAGAGGTCTGCACGCCACGTGGGACCCTCCTCCGGTGGCCGGGGAGCAGCCGGGGATCGAACCTGATGCTGCAGAGGCTGCAGGCAGCTTCGCAACCCAGCGCTCAACCGCTGCGCCACCGGGGAGGCCCCCTCAATTTATCTTTGATGTGGTCACCAAGTTCTCACTCCAAGCAGTTCAGGTTTCATCTCCAGCAACCAGGAACTCACTACTTCCTGAAGTAGCTCCATTCATTTACAGAAAGCTGTTAAGAACATTCCCTAAGCTATTCACTGCCTTCCTTATAAATCATCCCTCATTACAAAACAAAGTTCAAACTTTGCATGGTATGTAATAACCTCACCCTGCTCTCAGCCTATTTTTCCAGTCTTTTCTCCCACGGTGACCAAAATCCAAAGCTCCAGCGCTCTCAAACCACTGATTCACCCTCAGTGAATTTCTCCATACCCACATCTCTATCCCCTTGCTCACTCTCTTCTTTCAACCTGCGATGGTTTCTCCCTGGCCCGAGTTCCACAATCCTTTGTTTGCATCTCAATAGCATTTATTACTGTCTACTTTAAATGACAGCAGTCACTGACTTGCCCCTACTCTCACTTTAGTCATGTTGAGCATTTTTAAGGCTGATGTTTTCTCCTCTTTTTAAAGCAATTTCCATTCCAAGAACCTAATCCGGTACATAAAACATGACGGCTAAATTTGAAAATTCTTTGTAAACCACAACACATTTACAAGTAAATACTTATATTATTTTAAATTTAATGAAATCACACCTTTTATTCTTGCTCAACATTCTCTTAACCTGTAAGAACTGACTCCCTTGTCTGAGTGAATAATTGCAAGTCACTTGACACTTTGGTCTGTTTCCTTTATAAACTCAGGGGCATGAACTCTCTGCAGGCAGAGAAAGGGGATGGATGGTAAAGGAGTTACTCTGGGCATGTAACCCATCCAAAGAAAGGTGAAGCTACAGCCCTTCACAACTACAGTCGCAGATGTTAACCAAGATGGGCAGAGTCACTCTGTCCGCCAGCGGATGCACAATTAGGGTTGCTGGAGAAGGAAGTGAATGGGAGAGGTTTTAGAGTATTAGAAAAAGGATCCTAGTGGTGGGGATGCAGCAGGCAACCTGCAGCATATCTCTGAGAGGGTGGTGACCAGCTACAATGGCCAATGCCTGCCTGCCAAGAATGAGCTATGGCCAACATTCCTTCTCAGAATCGCGGGGCAGGGCATGACCTAAACTTGTCCAGAGACACAGCAGCCTCTAAAACGGAAAGCTTCCCACCTTCAGGCAAACCCCACTTGTTTTATTAAGGAAACGGGACCTCACTGGCCCTCGATGCCGCCTAAGTGGTCTTCCAACTGCTCCTTCTGCAGGGAACTGCAGGGTCCCACTCCCGGGGCCGGGCGCTACCGCAAGCGGGGCGCCCTCGGACCCCGCCCTCGCCCAGGAAAGCCGGGTCACACCCCTACTCTCAGGCAAACCTCCGGGGCCTGAGGCGCTAAGCCGCCCGGAGGCCGGAAGCCGCCAGGAGCGCGCGGGCTGAGCGGAGGCGGCGGGGTCGCGGCCCGAGGAGCGCGGGCGGAAGGCGCGCGCCGGCGCGGCCCAGCTCCCGGAGGGGCGCCCCGCCGAAGGCGGAGGGGCAGGGTCGCGGCTCGGGGTGCTCGTCTGCTGGTTACCGGCGGCGGCCCCGGCCTTCTAACGGGGACTGGGGGGTGTCGCAGGCTCCACAGCGCCCCCCGCCGCCCTCCCGCGCTCCTCACCGTCTCCATTACGAGAGGCCCTGGCGGAGTTCGCCCGCTCTCGGCGGCTCGCTGGCGGAGGGGCGCGGAGGCCCCGCCCCACGCCCGGCGCCGCGACGCCACTTCCGCCTGCGCCGGCACGGACGCAAGCCGAGGGCGGAAGGCCCCGCCCCGCCCCCTCGCCCGGGCTGGGCCGCCCCCCCCGACCCCCCCCCCCCGACCCCGCGACGGGTCCTCCCGGATCTCACGCGTCCGGCCGGCGGCGAAGGTGGCGGGAGGAGGGTGACGGGACGGAGCCGCTTGTATTTAAAATGTTCTTTTTTTATTTGTCGTTTAAAAACAAACTTGGAAGAAGCAAAATCCAAAACTTGCCCTTTGCCTCTTGCAACATAAATTATGTACAGTTCAGAATGATCGCTGATACAAAACATGCCAAGGACGGGGGCGCTGAGGGCGGAGGGAGAGAGGGCGCTTTAAAAAAGGTAATCATTTCATCCGCTGTTACGAAGGACCAACCTTGCTGTACAGGATACACACAACACAAAATAAAGTCTTCACGGGATTCACACTTGTCAGCGATTTATTTTTTAAAAAGGGGGAAGGGTCCTGGAGGTGAGGAGTAGAGGACTGTAAAGGGGAAAAACTGAAAATTGAGTATGTGCAAGTGTAAACCAACCCAAAATACAAACACGGGGGTGGGGGGGGGTAGGGGAGGAGGGAATTCTGATGCAATTATACAGGCGGGGTACTTAAAAAAAAAAAAAAAAAAACCAACAACCAAAATTCCAACCTTGTAGCTTGGGTCTGAGTTAGTTTATATAAAAATTAAAAACTGTATAAGGTTTCTTCTCTAACTTCTACAGGACTACCGGATACCTAGCATATGCTTACAAAGTCTGCCCCATCCCCTTTCCCAGGCCCAAGGCCCAAGCCCCAACCAGAGCCTGACTCCCCCTCCTTGTAGCCTAGGCCTTTTGCTCTTGGAAAAGGAACGTCCAATGGTTCGGGGGCAGCAGCCCAGTTACCCCACTGTAAAATTTTATTACAGTGGTTTCTGTGGGGGTGGGAGATGTTCTCTTAAACATCTGCAGCTTGAAACAGTTGAGGAAGCAGCTTTAAAAAAAAAAAAAAAAAACTCCCTATCCCCATCAATCCGCAACCCCCCAAATTCAAAAACAAAACAAAACAAACCTAAAATCACAACAGCAACCATGCTCCCCCTCCAGCAGGCCTGCCCATCCACCATCACCAAGCCCACCACTACACTCCAGACATTTGATTCTTGAAAATATTAATTACAAAATGCCCTTTGCCCACAGCCCCTAGGAAAGAACTGCATATAAGCTTCATCTTCACCCCCATGGCTCCCTATCAGAAAGGGGTCTGGGGCCTCATCCACCCCCTGACCTACCCCTACCCCCAGGAAGAGGTTCAACTGCAGCACAAGCTTGGGCAGAAAGGGGAAGGAAAGGGAGGCAAGGAACCCATCACCCTCTGGCTCCCGCGGGGCCAGCTCACTTTTGTGCGTTATAACATAGTCCAACTATACAACAGGGGGTGGGAATTGCCCAGCCTCAAGACCCCCACCATACAGCAGTCACAGCCAAGGGGTGGGGAGGAGGGGGTGAGGAAAGGGCGGTAGGTTGGGTAATGGAGGGGGCCCCCCCACAAGGGGAGCTCCATGTGTCCGCCCCATGCCCCCCTACCATTTATAAACTGGTTTTGTAAAAAGAAAATAGATATATTTATATAGAATATATAAAGCACAAAAATTAGTAGTTTTACATTTGCTCTCCCCGGGGGTGGGGGGAGAGGAGAGGGTTCTCACCTCCAGCCGGCTCCCCCATGCCCCACAAGACTATGTACAATCCCATGTATAAATAGATAAATACCCCCCACCCTCCCCGTGCTGACACTAAGCTCCCCACCCCCACATCACCACCCCTTCCCACCAGACCAGCAGCAGTTTGGTGACTGAGGGAAAATGGGAGCTCCGGGCCACACACCCTGCCTCATTGGGTATGGGCATGCCACTCAGGGATAGCCCTCACCCTACCACCCACCTACCCCACCTAAGGGTTGGAGGGCAAATGGGCTCATGATGGGGTTGGGAAACAGGAAAGAGATATCCTGGTCCTAGGTTTAGCACACTCCTCCTGCCCCCATGTCCAGATGGAGAAGGAAGTCCGAGAGCAACGAAGGGCCAGTCATCCCCAATCTTCACCACCATTAGCCTCAACCACTATCCCATGCCCATAATTAAAAACAAAGATGGATTTTTTGTTGTTGTTTTTTCTTCCTCCTCCTACCCCCCCTTCCACCCACTCAGAAGAGGGCAGTGAGGTGGGGGAGAGGGTTGGGGCAGTAGGGGGTTCAGAGAGGGTCTCACATTTCAAAACAGCAAAAAATCCAACATTTAAATGAGGTAGGTGTGGGTGTGGGGTCTCCTTGCCTGGCTTGCCGAGCTTGCCCTCCTGGGCAGCTGGTGCCTCTTTCCCGTTCATGTTGCATTTGTCAGAGTGGAAAACAAGGAAACACAACCCATAGAGAGACAGAACACAGGGGAGAAGAGGGAGACAAAGACGGATCGAAAGGTAAGGGGATGGGGGTGAGGGTGGGGGCAGGACCCGGCAGGCAGGGCCGGGTGTGGGTCCCGGCCTTTGGGATTGTCAAGCTTAGTCAAGTCTCTTTGCAGCCTTGAGTTGGGCCGGAGAGGTCGGTGGGAGCAGCAGGGCTGTGAGGCCCGGCCACACATCTTCCTCCCCTCTCCCTGCTGCCTCCCAGATGCTTCTGGGTAGTTCCCGGCCCATATCCCCCTCAAACCTGAGATGCCCAATGGCTGCTTCTGTCTGGCCCCTCCCGGAGCTGGGGGCAGAGATGCCAGCCTAGGGGCCGGTAGCGGGGAAGAGGGTTGTCCCTGGTGCCCAGGGTGGGCTTGGCCTAGGACCCTCCGCCCCAGCCTCCTGCTCCAGGGGCTCCGGTCAGCCGGCAGCCCCAACCCTGGGTCCTGGCTCTGGCTGCTACCTCTCTTCCCCTCATCCCTTTCAGGGAAGAGGTTGGGGTAGGGGGATTCCCCTGCCTGGTAGCCTCAAATGCTCCTTAGTTCATCCATTTCCGACAATTCCAGGCTCCACAGTGGCAGGGGATCTTGTGCTGATCGTCTTCAAAGTCAAACTGATAGTCGTAGGTCAGCTGAAAAGAGAAGAGGGCAGAATCAATGCCAGCCCCCTAGAGAGAGTGAGGAGGGCAGAGGACTTAGAACTGAGCTCCTGGTAAATGGTAGCACAGAGGGAGTTACTCCGTCACTCAGGATGCTTCCTCTCACCTCCTCTCCTTTGGGGATTCGCCGGCTGGAGATGATGATGATTTTATCCTCCTTGTCAAATGTCACAACTTCCGCCACGCAGTTCGGGGCACAGGAATGGTTAATGTACCTAGGCAGGGGGACAGGCAGAACTGACTTGGGAGGATTCTGGCGCTCTGTTGGCCAAAAGTGCCACCCTCAAGGACCCCTAAATCCCTCTGTCCCCATCCCACTCTCACCTGGCAGGGCCTCCAGTCAACGTAGCATCAATCACATGTTCGTTGTTTATTCGGAACATGTAGATGCCTCGATTCTAGAAAGGGTGCGGACGGAGCAAGAGAATCAGAGAGCGGCAGTGGTGGGGACTCTGGGAGCGGGCTTGTCTTCACTTGTCACTCTTCCTTTCACCTCCCTCCCTCCCTCCCCCCCTCACCTGCTCCTGTGGCCCCGATCCTGCCCCGGCTCTTAGACTGAGCGCGTGGACCACACACCCCCACGGTCTCTCTGCCAGCCCATACCTGCTCCTCATAAATTTTCTCCCGCCGGTTGGCCACCTCATTTCGAATGATGGTGCCAATGTACTCGATGACCATTGTGTGCTTTTCTAGGTCTTTGGCTGCATAGAGCCCCAGGCCCTGGATACGGGAACGAGCCAGATACACATTGTTCTTCCACTCAGTGCGAAGCCGCCGGTACTGAGATGACTTTGAGTGCACAAACTGCTTGCTGTACGGGGTGTTGGTCTCGCCTGTGAAGGTGCTCTGATATGCCTTGGACATGCTGGTGCTGTTCAGGGTGTGGGGCCTGGGAGGTGACACAGTCCATGACAAGATAGTTCTCCTTCAGACCAAGCACAAGCCACCCACCCTGGGAGGTGCAACACGCCAGTCAGGGGTGTGTGGTGCCTGGGGAATGGATCGGGGGCATCTAGGTCTTGGTTTTGGTGAGGCAGCAACTAGCTACTGGGACCCTTCCGACAGCTGGGTAGCACAGAGAGCCCAGGGTAGGGGGTAAGGAGTGGAGGAGGTGGGGGGGCACCAATTCCCCTACACTGAGCCTGCTCTCCCATCTCCCCGCCTCCTACCACACCACCCTCCTGCCAAACCATACTCGAGGCCTTGCTCCTCTGGGAGGTCTTCCCCAAGCAGCCCAGGCCTGGAATTTAAATTCATGGTTTGCTCAAATGTCAGAGACCTACCCTCTGGTACAAACTAGTAGCCCTGAGAACAGAGACTGTGTTTAGCACATCGGGCTAGATTTGAATTAAAACTGGCTCTGAATTCACAGCCAAAAGGTGGGATCCTTTCCCTTCTTCAGACCGTCCCTTTTTGGACATAACATTGGGCTCTGTGCAGATGGCTCAGTGCAGGGGAATAACTGCTGCCTGGCAAGATGCCTTTTCACCACCCTAGGGCATCAGCCAAATTCTTGCCCATCCCAGAACAGTGGTTTTCAAACATTTTTGTTCCTTTCTTTTTTATTTAGCAGAAATCTTTTTAATAACAAAATGTTATTGGAACTCCAATACATAAACTAGATAAGAATGGAGCTCTTCTAGATGAATCCAATTTGGGGAAGGGGGAGTTATGCATAGGAAGTGCCAAGTTCTGCCCACTCATATGTGTTCCAGGGCTTTTTGGAACACACCAAAAAGCAGTTTGAAAACCACTGCTGTAGAGTATCGAGGACTAGGGAGAACTGGGGTAGAGTGTGACACTCTACAGCAGCTGGAGGAGCAACCGAAGGCCTTCAAGAAAGCCCTGCTACCGTGGACTCTGCCTCCCTCTGCCCAGGGGCCAAGGTCATGCCACTGCAGAACACAGAAAGAACAGTGACCCACAAGTCAAGAGGTAAGGTTCTAGTCCCAGCTGTGTGACCTTGGTCTAGTCACTTAACTTTTCTGGGTCTGTTTTCTCAGCTGTAAAATGGGGGTCATACCACCTGCCCTACCTACCTCATAAGGTTGTTGTGAGGATCAAATGAGATAATGGATGTGAAAACGCTTTGAAAAAAAAAGTATAAAGTGCTATACAAATGTAAAGTTTTAATATTTTTCTATTATATTTCTATTTATTTTTGATACCAACTCAGCCTGGGGAAGGGAAGGTGACCCTGGGCACTCATGGGGTGTCTGAGGTTTGGGAGACTCATAGGCACCCACCCCCTTGAAGCAAAACAAGAGCAGGAGTCACTGGATTCCTTATATATTCCATAAAGTTTTACCAGTGTCTACCCAGAACCACCCAGCAACCATTCCCAAGGTCCCCAAAAGAAGTCTGTCCTAAAGCCCAAGTGAACCCTGTACACCTGGGCAGGTTAGGGGACACCCTAGCAATACCTGTGCACCCTCTATCCAGAGGGCCTAGAGTGAAGCCCCCGTCTCTCCAAGGAAACTCTTGATATGTAACCCTAAACTCCTGTAATTGGTCAGAGCACCCCTACCAACCCCCACTCCCATATCCCTTGGCCCCAAACCCACAAGCTCACCGTTTGTAGTGTGTGAGGATTTTAGGCTCTGATCGGGCACAACCAGTGGGGTTGATCATGAGGGGCAGCTCCATCAGAGGGTGGCGTCCATAGCGGAATAAGTAGTTTTGACAGCTCTCTACTCCAGGCAGCTGTGGGCAGATTGTGCTCGCCTTAGCATGAGCGCTTCTGGGACAGGACCTCAGTTCCCCGTGTCCACCTGGCCCCTGAGTCCCTGACCCTCACTTACTGATTCAGCGATGCGGAGCACAGCGTGCACCGTCAGCCCGAAGAGTTCCTCGCCTTTCAGATACTCCGGGAAGAGCCGCAGCATGTCGGCCTCTTTTCTCATGGCGGCCACCGGCTCAATGATGCGATTCCACACAGCTGAAAGGTAAAGGAGACAGCAGCTCTCAGAGGCAACTCTGCTCACTGACCTCTAGCTCCTGATCTTGATCCAGAGCAACAGCTGTTTTCTGTAGCCTGCACAGCTCCCTGTCATTAGGTGTGTGTTCTTCAGGACCCTCATGAGGGAACCCCAGGCCCACTCTCCCTCAACAAGCCAAGAGACTTCCAACCCTGGAGCAGCATCACAGAAACGTGAACCCAGGCCCCAGGAGACCCAGTCCAGCTATGCTTTGGAGTTGGGAAGACTTGGGTTCGGGTTCTAGTACTGACCATGGGACCTTAAGCCAAATGCTGACGTCTCTCTAAATTTCAGTGTATGTATACACTGGGCATGACAACAGTACTTACCTCAAAGGGTTGCACAAACAAAATAATCTATAAAAATCACTTAGTTTAGTTTGTGGTATGCTCGCTAAAAGGAAACTGCTCTTGTTGTTATTTTTATCGTTAACGCTAAGACAAAGGACAAAAGAATTTCTTCCAGGGAAAAGCAACCACAAGGAACTCAAGGTCAGGATCAGATTGGGTGAGCCAGGTGACAGGGTCTCAGAACGCCTTTCGTTCCACTGAATATAGGAAAGAGCTAGAACATGTGAAATTAGACAGCAAAAATATCTTCAATTACAAGGGAACTTAAGGTGACTAAGTGAGGCTAAAAGACTTTCTCAGGGGATCTTCAAGAGACCTCCGACTGCCGGAGGTGGGGGAAGGATGGTCACTCACAAGCACCCTGCAGAGATCTCTTCTCAACACTGTAAAGGTGATTCCAGGAGAAACTTGCCCAATTCCATATTACTATTTCAAGGGCCCAGTGCTCACCCTGGGGAGAGGCGTCGGTGAAGACCAGGTCCTCCAGACCCTGCTCGATGACTTTGATAACAAACTCTGGCCGCCCGTTGTTCTCGCCAATAGAGCAGCGGTAGCAGCAGCGGCGGTTGTTGGTGCGGAGGCTCCAGTAGATGCGCGTGGCCTCATAACCCACAGGATACAGGGCAGTGGCACTGTGGAAGTCAGCCATCTGGTGGGGCAGCAGCTGTCCGATGGCGTGGAACACAAGGCCTCCCACACGGAACATGTGCACCCGCTCGCCCCGCTGGATGATGCTGGCAATTTGTTTCACCTCATCCCTCTCAATGTAGACCCGTCGGAAGACGGCGAAAGAGCTCAGCTCCTGCTCACAGGTGCCCTTGATCTTATGCATTGGACAGAGCATGGTCTTGTCCTTGAAAAACATACATTTCGCACGAATGGCGCAGGCAAAGTGGTAGACATTGGGGCAACGCATGCGATTGCAGCTGCTGGTGGCACCAGTGCGCTGGCACAGGGAACACTTGGTTAGCAGGCCTCGGTGCAAGGCGACCTCCACGTTCATGAGCGCCCCGCCCTGGGTCTCATACACCTCCGTGGACCACAGGGCACAGTTGAGGTGCACCCACAGGTCCAGGTCCAGGTTCAGCAGGCGGGCAGGCCCATCGGTAGCCCCGTCACCCTCCTCGTGACAGAAGCAGCAACGCCGCATGTCTCGAGGCACCTTATCAGGTCGCAGGGCTGTGCCAAGCTGTTCCATAAACTCTGCCACTTCCCGCTCATCCTCCTGCCGCCCACTGCCCTTCTGGATGGTCAGCAGCAGCCTCAGCCGCTTCCAGCGGACTCCCTTCCACTTCTTGAGACGAGGGGGGCGGGCATCTTCACTTTCTTCGGGAGGCCGCGCTCGGGGCTTGGGCCGGGCTGACTCAGGGGATGAGGCCAGTGGCAGAGGCGAGGGGACTGGTGGCTCAGTTGAGGGTTCAGTTGGGAGTTCAACCAGGGGTTCAGCAGGGGGGCTGGCAGGAGAGGGTGCCAAGGGGGATGGGGGTGGGGAGGGTTCCTCAGGTGGTGGGGCGGAGAGCTGTCGCACATCCAGATTGGAGACGTTGTAGGTGTAGCTGTGTTGGGTGGGTGGCTCTGGGGCGGGGCTCTCCTATGGGAGGGCACGTGCCCTGTATCATTAGTGCCAGCTCTTCACTTAACCAGCCCCTTCCCTCTCCTCCCACCCAGATACACTCTCCCCAAAGCCCTCTGCATTCTTTGCCCTAGCCAGTACCTCTTTCCTAATATCCACCCCCTGTTCTCCCCCCGACCCACCTGTTTCAGGAGGCTCAAGATGTCTAGCTGGCTCTTGAGCGTATAGCCAGGCAACACTGCATCAAACTGCTTCAGCCAATCAGCTTCGGGGCTCTTGCCTCCCAGACCCTTTTCTTTCCCACCTGCGGGAAGGAAGGGGTCAGAGCCTCCCACCAGAATCACTGCCCTCAGATCCCAAGTTGTTTTCTTGCCACACTCACCAAGGCCCTCAGCGTCCCCCTTCTTATGCTCAATGCCTGCTCGGGCAGGGCCTTCTGGGAATAGCACCTCGTAGGAATTGGGGATCTTCATGCTAAGCAGTTCTGCCACTGCCACCATCACACCATTCAGGTTCTGCCAGGGCAGGGAAGGAGATGGGAGAGCTGTGTCAGAAGTGTGTGGAGGGGCCTCCCCGGTGGTGCAGCGGTTGAGCACTGGATTGCGAAGCTGCCCGCGGCCTCTGTGGCGCCGGTTCGATCCCCGGCTGCTCCCTGGCCACCGGAGGAGGGTCCCACATGGCGCGCAGACCTCTCCTGCCGCCCGCTGCTCCCCTCAGCAGTGTACTTCGTCAGTCTGCCTGCTCTACTCTCCGCTCTGACTGGTGAATTCTCTCACCCTCCCGCGCTTCTGACTGTACCTAGTGCTTGTATCAAATAGATAAATAAATATTTAAAAAAAAAAAAAACTTTATAAAAAAAAAAAAAAAAAGAAGTGTGTGGAGTGGGCACTGCCACCAGCTTAGTGGAAACAAGGATAGCCAAAAGGCCAGTCAGGCCTGCCCCGTGCCAGCCAGCTCTTCCCACAGACTTCCTTTATAGCGGCTTTCCCAAACTGCTGTGGGCACTGATAGGAGTGCCACAAAAAGGGACCCATGTCAACTGAGTTTAGGAAATGGTGTACATTACACCCACTAAAAGATTTACATACACGTTAGCAAATTAAAGAACCTGAGGGGTCCCATGGTAAAGAAACCTTTAGGTTGTTTTAACTGGGATTTCCTAGTTCCACAAAACCCTGCTAATGTTTGAAAAACAGAGTGCCACCTAATGTGCCTGGGGACATGCTGTCTTACAGTATTTGTCATATACTACACTTTCCTTACTCGCTGACTTGTGCTTTACCACTGGCCTATGAAGCCCTGGAGGGGAAGGGCCATGCTTCATTTACCCTAACCCCAGAGTCCCCAGCCCAGGCTTTCACACACAGTAGGTCCTCACTGCATAGTTTTGAATGGTCAATAATCCAGATACGCTCTGACCAGCATTCCCTTGCCTCCACGGCACCCCCCGGACACACCTTGGCTGCAGCAGCGGAGACTGTCAGCATGACTGACACCTCACTTCCTTTGCCCTTTTCCCATGTGGCAGCAGGCAGCTTTCCAGGGGCCTCCAAGTCCAAGGCCCCACAAGGTTTGGTATCTGGGAAAACTGAACAAAAAAGAGGGGCTCCAGTAAGTTCCCGTGGCCTCTCTTCCCCAGCCTCTGACAACTCGGCCCAGCCGGGCCTGGCTCAGGCTCAGAGCAGCCCCTACCTGGAATGCTGGCCCGGGGAATGATGGGGATGACAGGGGAAAGCGCCCGATCTTCCTGCTCCCACCGGCCTGAGCCCAGCTGAGGGAAACGAGGGGCCTCTTCTCCCAGGACACTCTCAGGGGACGAAGCTGGCACAATGCTGTCAGGAGAATCGCTGTCCTCGTCACTCTCCATCCTGAGGGAAAAAAACAGACATTTGTTTAACAGCCTGTAGACAGCCCTTCCCAAATCTAGATTAGTCAATATTGTAGCCTTACTTGAAATCTGTCATTGGTCAAAGGAAAAACGCAAGCGCTTATCCCCCACCCCGGTTCTTCACCTCCCGTCCTCACCTGACATCCTCAGTCTGATTGTGAGGGGGCGTAGGCAAGGCGGCCAGCAGGTCTAGACTCTTCACCTCTGAAGCATCTGAGGGATAGGTAAGGAGAAGAAAAGTTGGGTTGAGGGTAGACAGACCTGGCAGTGCTGTCCCCTCACATTTCAGGCCTCCAAAATCTAGAACAGGCACGAGGACAACTTACCACCTGCTACTGCCCTGCCAGTTTGGGGCAAATAGGTTTCATTTATTGAGCTTTCCTAATGTGCCAGCCCCAGACTCTAGGTACACTTGTTATTTATTAGGTTGAATATTAAAATACCTATTTTTACAGTGGGGAAGTTGAGGTTCACACCAGTCAATCCACTGCTTGGCCACAGTAACACAGCTAAACCAACGCAGGAGCCAGCATTCAAATCCTCATCTGACTGTAATTCCATAACCACTAAAGCTGGGTGCTCCTTATAAGCAAAACTTAATTTATACTCGCCCTGCCCCCACCTCATCATTGCCCTTGCTCTAGATACCAGAAGTCTATCCTTATCTCCAATAAGTGGGTCAAAAGAGGGGCTTCTTATCTCAGGCATCCTATCATGCATACACAAGGGGCAACATGCCACCTACTCTTCTCTGAAACTGTGCCAAGGCACACCAACTGGCTTTGACCCCCACCCCCAAATCCTAGGGTTGGAGAGGGTCACTCTGCTCTTCACATACCTCTCAGTGTCCCTTCGGTCTCCTGGGCAGAGGCGGCGCCCTTGGGCTGCTCCCCCAGCTCTTCAGATGGAGTGACACCATTGACCATCTTCTGCTGCACCGATGGGGGTGGGGTGGGGGGCAGCGACGAGGGTGGTGTCGGCGGGTTACTCAGGTTATTCTGGGGGTGGGGTGGGGTGTTGTGTGCAAGATGGCATAGGGAGACTGACATAATTTCCAGGCCCCACAGTACATCAGCAATTCCCTCAAATCTCCTATTCCCACCCCCACCTTCCCAAGAACTTTATTATCCCCCCAAAGTATTGCCATTTTCCTGACCTTGGTAAGCAGTTGGGAATAGTAGTCAGGGCCAGTGGGCAGCGCGCCGCTTCCAAAGGCCCCCCTCAGCTGGCACTGCCCATTGATTGGGCTGCCACTGCCAAAGGGAGCAAAGAGGCTAAAATTGGCGGTGATGGTAGGCTCCGTCAGGGGCAGCAAGGACAGCTCCTAAAAGGGGCAAGATGACAAGGTTGACAAAGTGCAGCATGTGCCACCGCACAGTGGGGGCCAGGGTGCCTCCCTATCCTGAGATGGGACCAGGGGAATAGCTCCTGGGGGGCTTACCTGTTTCAGTTGTTTCAGCAAGGCCTCGCTGGCCCTGACCCCGTCCTCCTTCCGCAGCTTCTTTCGAGAGCTCACCAACCTGTCGCTCGCCTTCTGTACCCTCTTTGGCTTCGGTGTTAAAGGCTTCCTTGCTGCTATATCCTAAACCAGAGAAACCCACAGTGAAGGCTGTGGTCGTCCTCAGAGCCCTTGCCTCTTCTGTTTGACCCAGAAGTGCTCACTCTGTCCATGGGCTCCAGGCCCCTCTATCTGCTCCACTCAATCTAGAATACTCACCTCCTTATTGCTGGGGGTACCCTGTAGTTTCTGTTCCAGCCCAGCCAGCTTGCTGTCAATGTGCCCGTTGATCTCAGTTCGCAGCCCCTCAGGCCCCCGCCCAGTGCTGAGTTGCACATTCTTTGCCCGTAGAAGCTTCTGCAAGAGCAGATGCCCAGCCTCTGAGCGGGGGCCTGCCAGCAGGAGGTGGTTGCTGGTACCTGGCACCCCTACTGGCTCTCCATTCGCTTCCCTCTTCATAGTCTGGGTTCCCAGGGCACATGATTCTTCCCGAGGCTCTTGTTTGATGCTGAGATGGGGTGACTCAGGCACCACCTGTCCATTCATCTGCTCCAGATGCCCAGGCACCAGGCTGCTCTGCTCCGGCTTCTGGGCTTCCACTAGGTTGTCTGGGGAGTCCCAAGGTCCTACTCCCTTGCCAAAGAAGGCATCTGCAAGCTGGACGGCAGCAGGCGAGACCCTTCCAGGAGGCAGCTCCAAGGGTGGCCCCTGGGGTTTGGGGGTTCCTGGCTGGGTAGGGGTGAGCTGGGCCTCAGAGGGAAGCTGGGAGCTGGGGGAAGATAATTGTGAGGATTTCTTTGGCTCTTGGGGGCTGGATGGTGGAGGTGTGGGATGGACAGGGCCAAGGACTGGTCCTGTGGATAAGGCTCCTTGTGGGGCGGGGAGCCGGGGTGGGCCCTGAGGTCGAAGCCCTGCCCCTAGCTCTTGGAGGGGGCCTGTCTGGGATCCAGGGAAGGCCCCAAGTTGGGGCTGGCGGCCGAGAAGCCCCTGGAGGGGAGAGGGCTGGGTCCCAGGCTCCTGGTAGGGTGGAGTCTGGCGTACTGCCTGACTCTGCTGTAGCTGCCGCTGCATGAGGAGTGCCTGTAGCTGCTGCTGCTGCTGAGGGCTCAAGTGCCGTAGCTGCGGATTTTTGGCCAGGACTCCTTGGAGTTGTGCTCGAAGCTGACCCACTGTGGGCATGACTGCAGGCCCAGGCAAGCCCTGCCCAGACGACGCAACAGGTCCTGGTTTGGCAGGCTGTGGCCCTACGTTATTTTGCATGGGCCGTTCTAGTCCAAGGGTCTGTTGTGAGCCCAGAAGGTTCTGAGTCATGGACGCAGGCTGCTCCCCCAAGGAAACAGAGGACTGGGTGAGCAGGTGAGGCACAGATGAGACCTCAGAAGATGATCCACTGCCTGGCTGCCCATGATTTCCCATACCTGCTGTGTGGATTAGGTTAACTTGAGGCTGCTGTCCTGGGAGCCTCAGGGGTGGTTGCAGCTGCACAGGGTTGGGCTGAGGCTGGGCCGGGGGTTGGATAAGCAGGAGTTGAGAGTCCGAAGAGAGTGAGGGCTTTACCTCTCCTGATTCAGCAGCCACTGGCTCAGTCATAGTCCCCATTGCTAAGGGCCCTCCCTGATGAGTGGAGGGCCCCTCAGTGACCTCTGGAGGAAGAGTTGTCTCTACAATGCTTTGTTCCTTGCCAGTTAGGAGAAGGGTTGGACCCAAGGTTCCAGGGCTAGAAAAGTGTTGGAGAGGCTTGGCTGGCATGCTGGGGCCAAGCGTTACCTGCTGCTGCGGTTGCTGAGGAGACAGTAAAGTTCGACTCTGGCTCAAGAGACCCATCTGCTGCTGCTGCTGCTGCTGTTGCTGCTGCTGCTGCTGCTGCTGCTGCTGCTGCTGCTGCTGAAACTGCTGTTGCTGCTGCTGAAGTTGTTGCTGTTGCTGCAGTTGCTGCTGCTGCTGCAGTTGCTGCTGCTGCTGCTGCTGCAGCTGCTGTTGTTGAAGCTGATGTTGCTGTTGAAACTGTTGTTGTTGCTGCTGTAATTGTTGCTGCTGTAATTGTTGCTGTTGCTGTTGCTGCTGCTGTTGCTGTTGAAGCTGTTGCTGTTGTAAGGAGCCAATGGGTTGAGTGCCCAGTTTGGGCTGCCCACTGTGTGGCATCAGACCCTGCTGAAGATGAGAAAGTCCTGCCACAGATCCCTGTTGTTGGTGCTGCTGTTGCTGCTGCTGCTGCTGCTGCTGGGCTGTGACCAGTCGGTGTCCCATAAGGCCGTGACCCTGCGGTGCCACCTGGGGGGAACTCAGCACCCGGGGCTGGGTCAGAAGCACCTGTCTGTGAGGGCCCTGGGGGCCCAAAGCTCCAGGGTGTTGTTGTTGCTGCTGCTGCTGCTGCTGCAACACTGCCACCTGAGCGGGGCCCAGCATGCCCTGGGATGCCTGGGGTGGTTGTGGAGATAGCTGCTGAACTAAAAGGCCCTGATGGCTGCTAGGAGGCAGAAGCCCCTGGGACTTAGGACCCAGAGCCTGGTTTGCCTGTATTCCCAAACTCTGCTGCTGCTGCTGCTGCTGCTGCTGCTGCTGGATTGCCACCTGTCCTAGGAGGTGCTGCTGCTGCTGTTGCTGCTGCTGCTGCTGCAGTTTCTGGGCCAGTTGCATCCGCTGCTGTTGCAGCTGCAGCTGCCTTTCCTGTAAAAGCCTCGAATCAGGTCCTAGGCCTCGAAGAGCAAGATTGCCAGGAAAAAAGCCCCCTGAGGGGCCGGCGAGGGCTCCAGCCCCACCAGAATGTTGCTGTTGCTGCTGTTGGGCCAGGGTTGTGTTGAGGAAGGGGCCACCAGGCTGTCCAGGTAATGCCATGCCCCCTGGAGGCAGGCGAAGACCTCCAGCTTGCCCACCCGGGGGTCCTTGTGGTGGCTGCAGCCCATGGCCAGGGAGCAGCTGACCAGGGAGTTTGGTGAGTAGCCGGGGACTCTGTGAAGGACTAAGAGCCAGCACGGCTGAGTGCTGCTGCTGTTGCTGCTGCTGCTGCTGCTGTTGCTGTTGCTGCTGCTGCTGCTGTTGCTGCTGCTGCTTATTCCGATATTCTGCCATGAGATTAGTATGCTCCTTCTGCTGCTTCCGGACCTAATAGGAGGTTCAGGGAGGTCAACCCAGAGCCTGCCCACCCATGTCATCCCTCTTCCCAGGTTCCTGGTTGCTAGGCTCAAGTTTACTTTCCCCACCTGATCCAGCTGTTTCTGGATCTTGCTCTGCTGTTCCGTAACCAGCTTGAGCTTTTCAGCATCAGCCTCTGGAAACTCACGGCCAGCCTTTTTGGCAGTGCGCTGCTTGGCACACAGAGCTTTCCGGGACTTGCGGTGCACACCAATCTGTTCCTCTAGCACCTTTAGCTGCATCTGTAAGAGCTGCTGGGTATGGAACAGCCACTCTTCGTACTGCCGCTGGTCAGTCTCATCTGGGAAAGGAAGCGGGCTGTCAGATCAGGCCAACAAAATGGTGATCCCGACCCCTCTTCCTCCAAATGCTTCAAGCCACTTCCTGCACAATCTTCCCTTTCCCATACTCACTGATCACCCCCTGGGCAAAAGTGGGTGGATTGGGACGAGGCTGGGAGGGGTCACCAGCATTCCGTTCCTGCAATAAGAGTGACTGTTAGAGGGTCACTGTCCCACACCAGGTCCTAAGGAAGGTGGCCCGATGGCATGGGATACTTCATTCCTTACCTGGCCACTCCCAGCTGCCACATGGTTCTGCAGATCACCACCAGGGCCTCCTGAGAGTCTCTGGGCTAGGAGGGACACTTGCTGCCTGCAGTCCACCAAAGCAGAGAGAATATATTGGTGGTGGGGAAAGGTGAATGGCAAAGAGGAAGGACAAATAGAGAGGGGGACAAGAAGGGGAGGGACTGGGAAAACAAAGGGCCATCCCTCCAGCCCCCAAGTCTTACCTGTTCATACCAGGTGCCACTCCAATACTGCCCTGAGCCATCACCTTCTTGATGCCTTTCAAAGCCACCATCTTGGCCTTGGCAATGGGATCAATGATATCTTCTGCAGCAAATTTGTCTAGGTCTGGGGAAGGAAAGTCAAGTGAGCAAGTGGGCATTGGATCAATTCTCGATTTGCTGTTCCTTCCCATACCTTGACTTCCACCAGGCGAGCAGAATGATGGCATGGCACAGTGGCAAGACCACTGGACTAGGAACCGGGCAGCTTGGGGTGTGACTCAGCTCTACCATTCACAGGGTATGTGGCCCCATTTCCACTTGCACGTACCAGGAAAGGTATTCAGTATTTGTTGAGCCAATATATCCATGTCATTTCACTTCTGGGTTTCGGTTTACTCCTCTATTTGATAGAGATCATGACCCCTACTCTGCCTACCTCATGGAGCTATCAAGAGGGTCAAACGTACAAAAATATGAGTATACATTATGACCTAGAAAGCTTTCTTCAGAAGTAATGTTCTTAGGGTAACTGGTACCTCCCAAGAACCCAAAATGTGGGCACTCTGACACAACCTGAGATGCCAGGGCTGAGCATCACCTACAGCGGACTTTCCTGCCTGCCCAAGATGCTGGTTACAAAAGGAGAAGTAATCACCAAAAAAAAGGTAAATCTTCCTGAAGTTGTATACACTGAACATTGCTCCACTTCTCAGAAGTTTACTGACTCCCTGTTTTTGAAAGGATTAACAAAGATTTGAGGCTTCTAGGAGGGGAGCAGGAGGGACCAATGGGGTGGGGGAGAGGAAGAGCATAATGGACTATGCTCTAGAGCAGAGAGGACTAGGGGTGCTTGGTGGGAGGAGAGCTATGGTGACCACACCTGAGGGGAAAAATCCTATGCTATCAAAAAATTAATATAGATATAAGAAAGTGGTACTTTGCCAAATAAATAAATACACAGATAAATAAATGAACAAACAGACTAACCAAACTCCCTCTCCTGGTATTTTGAGGAAGTAAAACAGTTAAGAGGATCAGAGGACCAGGGTGCAAACTAGGTGTTAGTTGTGTATTCTTGGACAAGATCCTTATCTTCCGTGTCTCAGTTTCCTTTTCTAAAATCAAAGATCATAGCAGTACTGATTTAATGAGTTTGTTGGGATGATTAGACAATAAATGTAAAGTGCCAGGCACACTGCTTGGCAAACAGTAATCACTCAATAAATACTATAATTTATATATAAACGCTATTGTAATAAATGCTAGGCCAGACCTTACTCAGTATGGCTCTCCTTCTTCTCCAAAATTATGGCATGCCCATTCACTCTACTCCCCTGCAACAAAGTATCCTCCAGCCTATCTACTTCACTGTCCCCAAGTATTTTCCTGCTGATGACAGGCCCACAAGTCACTTCATCTACCTGGTCTGCTTCTTGCACCGCTTCTCTCCAAGTCCTAAACTGTCAGCTTCACCACAGCTCCTAGGTCTTTGCTAATTAGATTTCACACACTCAGCCCATTCATTCAGTCAACTATCTCAATGCCAGCTATGCTGGGAACTGGTTCCTCCCTTTTTGAAAGCTGCAGTGCTTCCGCCTATACCACTAGCATAGTGGTTACAAGGTTCTTTGTGTCCCATCTCCCGAAACTAGGGATTATTTTAGGTCTGTAGCTTCAGTGCCAATTTGGTGGTAGTAGTGACCACTCCTGAGTAACTAAGCCAGTGCTCCCTGCTGAGATTACCTGTATCTGGGAAAAAGCTGTTGGCCAGTTGCTGTTGCATTGCCAGTTGCTGGGGTTTCATGCACATGGAAGGTGGCATGGCACCCATGGGCTTCTGTGCCAGGACTGGCTGTGAGCTCTGCTGGGCCACTAAGCCTGCCTGCCCTCCATGCTGCCCACTCAGCATGTGTCCTTGATTGGACACCATGGCCATGGATGGGGCCAGGCGCTGCTGGAGGGCATGAGCTGATGGCTGGTTGGGCATCAGTGGCTGCGTCAAGCCTGGCTGTCGAGAACCTCCGAGTCCCAGGGCAAGTTGCTGTTGGGGCCCAACCAAACTGGGAGAAGAACCCTCATGGGGCAAAGTCATGACCTGGGCAGGACCAGGTGTGGACAATAGGGAATGCTGCTGTTGCTGCTGCTGCTGCTGGGTAGGCTGCAGCTGTGCCGAAAGCTGCTGCTTCTTCTGCAGCTCCTTCTTCTCATGTTCCAGCAGGTCCTCGATAAGCAGGGGTAACTCACTGGCTACCAGTGAGCTCTCCATCTTGTCCAGCTCATCCCCAGGTGCTGTATGTCCACTGGGCAAGGTGAGGGTTCCACTCTCTAGCTCAAACTTTTCCAGTAAGGAGGATCCTCCTGGGCCACTCAATGGGCTGGGGGTCAGCAGGTGAGCTGGTGGTCCTCCTGTGGCCCCAAAGGGGCCCTTCTCAGCTGTGTGCCCACTGCTAGAAAAGGGTCCCGGGCCCATCCGGGTGTCCCGGCTGCCCATCACAGTCTGTCCTGGTTTCAGTGTCAGACCTAGGGAAGTGGCGGCTGGTGCTGCCTCCATTTTGGGGGTGGTAATGGTGAATTGGCAAGGGGAAGGGTGGCGCCCACTCTCCTCCACCTTGGGCTTCACCTCAGGAAGGACCGATGCCAGCCGGGGCTCAGAGTTATCAGCAGCAGGGGGAGGGCGCTCCTCAGGGACCAAGGGTCCTGGCTCCACACCCCGCAGCAGGGCCTCCCGCTCAGCCTTTTCATTGGCTGACTCCACCAGTCTCAGATGCTCATTGAAGATGTCTTTCTTATCCCCAGTGTCCAGCTCAGGGTCAGTATAGGCCAGCAGGTCAAACTCATCCCCATTGAGGAGGTCATCGAGGTGAGGGTCATTGGTCTCCAGGTTTTCCAGGGTGCCCAGCTCATCATCTCCCTTGGCGACATCCACACCCAGGCCCAGGTGAGCAAGCTCCTCGTCATCCTCTAAGGCCTTGTGGGCGTCAAAATCATCGTCCAGTTCAGGATCCTCACAAGGTAATTTCCCAGCCTCCAGGGCCAGAGGAGGGGGGCGGCCAAGCTCAGTGCTTGAGGGGGGCCGGCTGACCAGCTCCAAGCCAGTGGGCAGGGTGGGACCCTTGGTGTGGGGTGGTGGATGGAGGCTATTGTTCAACTCAGGGGCTGGCGGGGCTGAGGGCTTCTGTGGGGGAAGACCTGCCACGACCAGTCCGCGAAGACCTTCAGGAGCCAGTCGGTGGGAGTCCTCACTAACAGGGTAAAAACGGGGCCGCTGAGGGAGCCCCTGACCAGGAAACGGAGCCCCTCCAGGTCCCAGTCCTTTCTGTACATTGTGCCTCAACTCAATGAACTGGGCAGGACCAGCCGGACCAGGCACTGGCTCACCAGGGCCAGACAGGCGAGTGGGAATTCCTGCCAAAGGGGAGGCTAGGGCCTGGCGGCCAAGTTCAGGCCCAGAAGTTGGTGGAAAGCGAGCAGGCATGGCAAGTCTCATGGAGGTTGCTGCTGTTGCCTGTTGCTGTTGCTGCTGCTGCCACAGCTGCTGCTGCTGCTGCTGCTGCTGCTGCTGCTGCTGCTGCTGCTGCTGCTGCTGCTGCTGCTGCTGTAAGGGCAGGGGCCCAGGATAGGGTGCTCGCTGATAGAAGGCTTGGGAACCTCCCACCATTTGCCTGGAAGAATATGCAGAAGTTAGTAAGATGAAATTAGAGCCTGGGCTTAGGGCAGTGAGCAGGATAGTTAATGATGGTGAGGGTGGGGAAACTGAATGACACTGGACAAGAATTAGCGACAGAAAATCAGAGGCAGCACACAACAGCAGTACAATCTGTGCCTTTGGCGTACCCCCCATGGAACCTCCTAGAGCCTCACCGACTATTCACATCCAAAGAGGAAGGGGTGGCTGGTGGAGGCGGCCGGGAGAGTCGGTCATCACTAGGGAAAGCCCCAGGCCCTAGGATGGGGCCACCCAGTTTGCTTGGGGGCAGTCCCACAAGGTTACTCTTGTCCTGGGAGAGAGAGAAGTAGGTGAATGGGACCACTCTCCGTATCAGACCCAGCACCACCCCTTGCCACTCTACCCACCTGGGTCCCAGCGAAGGGGGCCTGGCCTCGACTCAGCTGCTCAAAGGCAGGGCTACCAGGTTCAGCGCCCCAGTTGCTCGGGGGCCCCACTGCTCCCACAGCTGCTGCAGCTGTTTCCTTCTCCTGCCGCAGGGTGTTGCGCTGGATCTGCTGTCGAATCAGCAGCTCCCGCAGCCGCTGGCGCTGCACGGACAACAAAGAGGGTGAATCCATCCTCCTCCGATTACAACGTTGGCGCAGGACAGCTCATATACGGGAGCTCAGTGCTAGGATGTTAACTTACCTGACGCTGCTTCTCCAGCTCTGTCTGGCTGAGGCTGGACATGCCTGGGTCTTGGGTACCTGGAAGCTCAGGTGCCGCCAAAGAACTGCCCATTCCAGTCCCTGAATCTTCTCGCTTATCGACTGGAGAGGTGATGCCTGCCCGCTGTGAGGCTCCATGGGACAGGTAGGGGAGGGATCCATCGGGTGCAGGTGGTAGGACTGATGGGGGTCGTAGTGGGGACAGCCTATAGCCCTCTCCTGTGGACCCACTGCTAGGTCCCAGGGGGCTGCCCAGTGGGTGGAAGTTCCCTGTGGCTACTGCGTAGTTTGTGCTTTGAGGCTTGCCCAAAGTAGGGCCAGGCCCAAAATGGCTGTTGATCCCATGGGGTGGAGGGAGACCAGACTGGGGGACTGGGGGCTTTAGGGAAGATTCCCCTACTGCCTGAGGGAAAGTGAAACGCATAGGAGACGGGGTGCCCACAAATGCACCTGTTCCAGGGGACCGGGCAAAATTAGGGGGCTGCCCACTTGGGACCTTGGCATGGAGTTCACCTGCCGGCCCCGAGGGCAGGGCTGCTGGGAAGCCCCCAGCCCCCAGCGGAGTGTGGGCTAGCGGTCCAGCCTTGAAGGCAACTTCAGGGGGCTGGGGTCGGGGTGGCTTATGCAATGGAGCAAATGGGTCACGGGACTGAGGGCGTGAGGGTGGGCGGGAGTACGGGTCAGGGGACTGGAAACGAGGGGTAACAGGGGATGGGCAAAAAGCTTCAGCAGACAGAGGACGGGGTGTCAACGGGGACTGGGAGCTCGACTGGGACTGGGGGCTGGCAGGCACTCGGGAGAAAGGGTCGGAAGGCAGTGAGCGAGGGGGCAGTGAACAGCAGCTCTCAGGGGGTGGGGGCTGGGGCCGAGGGGTCAGTGGGGGCTGGGCATAGGGGTCAGGGCGAAAAATATCTGAGTGGCTGGGGGGAGAAGGGGCCAAAGCCTGGGCGGGGGGCGGCTCCTGGGGCCTTAGGCCTAAGCCCGGGCTCTGGGGCTCTACCTGAGATGCCCGAGGGGTCATCGGGGCTTTGAAGACATCAGGTGCCTTTAGCTCCAGGCCACCCAGGTGGGGGCCTGAGGAAGGCGAGTCAACAAAGCCCAGGTTTGGGGGACCATAGCTAGGAGAGGAGGCCCCAAGCTCTTCCTTTTTCACATCTAGGGCCTTGCGAGACTCCCCGAAAGGCGGGGGCGAGAGCAAGGGCTCAGGAGCCTTGCCTCCCCCTCCCCCTGTGTTCTCAGGCACTGCCAGGTTGTCCAGCGAGGGGCAGCGGGGTTTGAGGAAGGGGTCAGGCGTGGAGGGCTGGTGTCGGGGGGTGCCAGGGGGAGTAGTGTGGAATTCCCCTGGGTGGCCAGTCCCAGGACGAGATGAGGTGCCCAGCGCTTGGGGCTGCGAGGGGGCCCCGGTCGGACTAGGATAGGGAGGGTAGGAGGGGGGTGCCGAGGGGAAGCGGGGCTCCAGAGCGTACGCGGGGGTCAGTCCAAAGGGATCCTGCGAAGGCACTTGGGCGGGCACCTGGGGTGGGAGCTTGAGGAAGAGCTCACCGGGCGAGTCGGGGCCGGGCACGGTGCCCGCCGGCGGCTTCAGGAACCCATCCGCAGAGGTAGACAAGCCGGCGGGGGTAGTGGGGCTGCCAATGAAAATGGTGGGGGCGGCAGCAGGGGGCGGACTGCCCAGTGCCCCTGGCTGGGGGGGAATGCGGAGATGGAGGGCTGGTCGGTCAGTCTTACGGGCCACGTCGCCCACCTTGGTCTGCTTGTTGATCTGGCTCTCAGCCTGCTACGGGGGAGACCAGGCACAGAGCAGTCAGGCTGCTGCGGGCGGGCCCTGCACTCCCACCCCCTCCCTGAATGAAGCCACCCACCACAGTGGGACCCCAATCACCTTTTGCACCTTGTTGATGCGGTGAGCTGCCCGGTTATCTTTGGCCTTTTGCTGAGGAACACAGGACACAGCCTTAGGGCTAGGGCTCAGTCCCAAGCCGAGCCTTCATCCCTCACAATGTCACTCACAGTCCCTACCCAGAAGCTGATCCCTTCTGGCCCAGGCTGCTTTAGGAGTGGGGAATGGGAAAAACCGAGGTGAACTTCCCAAGGACAATCCCCCTTTGTTCCCACACGACCCAGCTCCCCTCTATCTCACCAAGTAGGGGGCTTTGTCAGCAGCTGGAACCTTTCTCCAGAGTTTCATGATTTGTTTGCAACGGCTAGACCAGTCTGGAGGGCAGAGGGACTGTGTCAGAAGAGACTTGGGGACCCCTGCACCCACCATGTTAGCAGATTGTCTCCCTTCCCCTCATCCCCCCAGTACCTGGGTAATCTTGCTTGAGATTGGGGAAGTTAATGTTGGCATAGAGCACAGGTGAGATGGTGGAGAGCTGGCCCAACTCTTCATCCTTCTCCCAGCGTTGAAGACTCCTCTGGTTATAGGAGAGCCCGTCGCCCTCACCCTCTGTGGTGGGGGTGGTGGGAGTGGAGGGCGTGGTGCCTCCAGAGCCTGTCCAGGGGCTGTCTGGCTCACCGGGTTCCGGGCTAAAGAAGCCCCCGCGCTCCCTGGGGCGCAGGGGCAGAGAGTCACAGGGGGCAGGGATGCCAAGTCCCACCCCAGACAAACTGCAGAGACCCCAGGACACTGCCCTGACCTAACCGAAGGCCACAAGAAGGGAGAACAAGGGAGAAGTCCAAGGTTCCCTCCCTCCCCTCTGCATGGCCCCAATAAAAGGGAAGTGGCCATGGGGACTCCCCAGGGAGGCTAAGAGTGGATACCAACCTTGAATCCAGGAATGGGGACTGGCAGAGGCCCGGGTAGGAGTCCATTGGGCTGCCAGAGGGGAGACTGCCCAAAGGGAGTCCACCTATAAGACACACAGAGGAGAGGAGGAAATGGCCTTTCCTGGGACCAAGCTTGGCTCCCTCTATCCACCCAGTCTTCAAGCCACTCCCACCTGTATCACCTTGAAGAAAGGGCCTCTGCAGGGGTGTACGGCTGCCATCTAGGCCAGGGGTCCCACAGCCTAGATGCTGCTCTCGTTCAGAACCCAGAACATCCTTGAAGAGCTGCTGCAGGTCCTTGGATTCCATCTTGGGCAGTTCTGTGGTGGATTGATAAAGAATGCTACTGAGGGAGACCAGAGAACTGAAGGGGCACCAAGGTCGATAAATGGTCATGACCAGGGAAGATACTACAGACTCCCCACCAGAGTAACTGTACACAAGTCCCACAGACAGGAACTTCCTCTTCCACAGAGGGCCCTTTAGCATGCAGAGTGTGGGTCACAGCCTCACCTTCTGTGGGAATCCTGTCTAAGTCAGAGCTAAGCATCCCTTCACCTGGGGTGCCTGGTTTCTCAGGGTCACTGGGCACAGGGGATGCCTTTACGCCCCCATCCTCAGGTCCTGCAATTGCCAGGAGAAACCCATCAGTCAAGGTCAGTATGGAGGTACCACCACTGGCCACCCTGAACTCTGGAGGACACAGAATAGTTTCCAGCCTCTAGCCCTAAGGGTGCTCAGGTGCGAAACAGGACGACAGGGGCAAAACCAAAATCGGACCCAGCCTTCTCAGCAGCGCTCACCTGGTGTATCAGCTTTGCCCTCTGGGCCGCGGGATTCTTCATCTGCAACATCTGGGCCATCATCTCCTACAAGCAATAGTTCCCCACTCCAGTCAGAAATGTCTTACACTTGAGGCCCCGAATGGGTTCCCAGTGCAAAGGCCAGACCCTTGGCCTCAACGCCTACACACCAACCATTCTTCCCCAAATTCTCTTGCCAGCTCCTAAGCACAGAGCGAAGCTGAACCCCATCAGACTGGCCCCTTCTCGTATGACTGACCTTTCTGTGAGGTGGGAAGCTCCTTCCTATCTGAGCCTCCATCTCCCTTGGCTTTTGGGGTTCCTAGTCCAAAGCTTGGCCGGCCCACTCCAACTGCAAAAAGGGCCTTCCGGCTCAGGTCCAACAGCTCCTTCCCAAAGAAGGCCTCCTGTGGGAGAAGTCAGGGAGAAACAGGCTTCTTCATGCCCTATAGGACAGACACTGCCCTTCACCCCTCAGAGACAAAGGCCGACCTGCAAGTAAGCAGGGAACATGTCCTCTAGTTTGCTCTTCTTGCGTCCTCGCCGCTGCTGCTTCTTTTTCTCATCCCCGTCGGCTAAGCTCTGGTCCACGGAGCTTTCTGCAGGCAGGTCAGCAGGCATCACTGGGGACAGAACTGGAGATGTCAGGTGCTCCAGGAAACATGGCATGCTGCTCCCAACTCCGCCTGGGGGTATTTTGTCAGCTCTCCTTCCCACACCAGCTGGGCCCATCACGCTCTTGGCCCTTTCAGGGAGCTTCCCCTGACCCCAACCCACCCTGGCAGCACCCAGAGATCCTGTGATCCCACCGCACCCCCCCCGGCCCCACTGGTGCCCTCACCCGTCTCACCCTCGTCGGGCTGCCCATCCCCACTCAACACCTCCGCCTGTGCAGCAGGCCCCTTTTTCACACGTGTGTGGGATTTCCGCTGTCGCACCATAAAACCACCAATGCCTGTGAAGAAGCAGAGCCGAGGCTGAGACGCTGCTGGCGACTGCGGAGCTGCCCTCACGCCTGACCCCTCACCCCAGGGCCTCACCAGGCCGGTAGGGCTTGCGTTTGCGTTTCTTGCTCTCCTCAGTCTCCTCCTTGCCAGGTTCCACGTCAGGGCTGACAGGGCCCTCCAGTTTGATTTCACATTCCATGTGCTCCACACCGCCTGTGCGTGTAACAGGAATAAGAGGAAGCAAATCAGAGGCGTGGGTCATTTCCACCCTGCCATGCTGTCAACCACACCTGAGCGCTGGCTGCCTGACCAGTCATTAGAACAAGACTGGCAGTAGCTGGAAAGTGACTGGGCGTGACGGTGCTGCCCCCGCCCCCGGCCCCCCCAGAACCCTCGACCCTCCCAGGCGTCCACCACCATGGCACTTCCTGAAGATTTCCCAGCCTGACCTTCACCCTTGAGCAGCTCATCAGTGTCCATGTCCCCGTCCTTTTTATCATCAGGGCCAAGAGCATCTGAGGGCTCAGGACCCTCCAGCCCTGCCTCGCCTGGAAGGCCAAGCCGTCCTCGCCGCTGACGCCGCTTATGCAAGGGTGACATGGTCAGGTTACGCAGCACAGCCATGCCAGTTTCTGTCAGCCACACGCCCTCGAAACGAAAGTACTGAGGCTCTGCACAAAGGGGAAGAGAATGTGATCCCTGGATGGCGGTACCAGGGAAATCAGAACTCCAAGTTTCAGCCTAAGTCCCCAGCTGGGACAGTATGAGAGAAACCAAAATCCAGCCTGGGGTCTGAGGGCTGGACAGGAGAGCCCACCAAAGGGCGCTAGCTGCGACCCGAATTCCCAGTGACCTAGGGGGATTCAGAGGCCACTAGTGTAGAAATCAGACTGATGATTAACTCTAGGTCCGCTAACTACATTCTCTGGCTGTCTGTGGCTAAGCGGGCCACTATTTGCTGAATGCAGCACACCAGTGCCCCTGACACCAGGAGCAGCACTCACATTATGATGGAGGAGATGGCTAAGCACCTTCACTGAGGAAAAAGAGCTATGTTCTCTAGGACAAGATGCTGGCAGTATAGAGGCCACGTTCCCTGGTGAAAGTAAATGTGCCTGGGAAACTGGAGGCCTTGGTTCTAGTCACAACTTTGCCACTAACCTAGAGGGTGACGTTGGGCAGGCCACTCAATCTCCCCGGGTCTTAGTTTCCTCCTCTGAAATTGAGGAGATGAAATTGGGGGTTGGAGCTGGACTAGATTCTTTCTAAGGTCACTTCTGGCTTTGCCATTCAGAATTTCTGTGACTTACCTGGTTCTTTCACCTTCATAGGCACCAACTCTGGGGGCGCAATAGGTGCTGTGGAGACAAACCAAGGCAGCTTGAAGCCCTGTCCCTCAGCAAGGCTCCCTTGCCCTGACTTCCTATCCCCTTTCCATCACCTAGAACTCACCTGCAGGCTTTACCACATAAGGCTGGCAGGAGACACAGTCAAATCCCTCATCGGCTGCCTGTTCCACATCATCCTCTGTGAAGAGACTCTCGCAACCAGCATGCATCCACCTTGGAGAAGGGCGATAGCAGATATGAACCCAGACAATGAGAAGCTCAGGACAGGGAAGAGAGGGCCCATATGAGGGGAAAAGGGAGCCCTCACCGTTCACAGTGGCGGCACTGGATTAGTAGGTCTTCTTCCACGTAAGGAGCATGGCAGATAGGGCAGGTCACCAGGCTGGCACAGGGCCCACAGTGTGTGTAACTATTCTGCCATTCACAATGGAAGCCAGGGGAGGCGGCCCCACACTGCATACAAGACACACACCTGGTGGGGGCAGAAAGAGAGGCCTTCAGCACCTAACCTACTCAAGGAAACCAGAGGCACCCTCACTGAGAAGCCAGCGGCCAGCCTTGTCACGTATTCAAGATCACATCCAATCTAACAGCTCAGGTCCTGGCCCCTCTGAAGATCCTGGGTTTCCTTACCACTTGCACTTCCAGCCGCCCTTAGGCACGGTGAGCAGTGGGGGGTCCAGGCAGTATGTGTGGTAGCTAATGTCACAGTCATCACAGAGCAGCAGGCGTGAGGGGTCTGAGGCCTGGCCGCACACCTCGCACACGATGCACTCCACACAACGCCAGCCCTTTAGCAGCATCACCTTGGTGATCTGGTGTAGAAGACGGCAATTCCTCAGGGTGTGATTCAGAGGGAAGGACTGACATCTTAGGGGAGGGTGGAACTTACACAGGGAAAGGTGGGGTTGAAGGACCCCAATGCACAGATCAGACTTCCACATGACCCCAGGGAGGCTATGCAGAGCATTCTGCCGCAAAAACAAGGACTCTAACCTTAGCTTCCCAGGGATCTCTGCTGATCAGAGAACAGCCTCACCCTGCCATTGTCTCATTACAAGAGTAGAATGGCAACGTGTCACTAGCCAAGTCCCCCAAAAGATTGTGGAGTTAAGAATTAGGTTTCCCCCAATCTTTCTTGAGCATTTAGAACCTGTTGCTGTTGCACATTCGTGAATACTGGCAGTAGAGAAGTGTTAAGTTAATATTAATGAAAACACCGAAACAACTGATCATACATGGGTCAAAAACACAGCTTTATCTGTGCAAACACAAGCCCATAGTTCTGACTTCATATTTTGCCTCGAGACCACATCATGTTTCCTACCAAAAGAGTTCTTGTAGTTTATATGACAGATTGATTTATATTAGTAAGTCATGGTCTCCCATAAGGAAACTATAAAGACCACCACCATTTCTAAAGTACTTTTCCCCAAGCTGAGTTTCATAACCACTGATGACCAGTGAATTACTTCCATGACCAACAGTCACTTTTAGGAAGTAGTCTGGTCAGGACAGGGACGCAAGATAAAGACCATCCCCAGCACATGCCTCTTGCCCTGAACTCACCTTGCTGTTGACACAGTAAGGGTGATAGCACTGAGAGCACTGGGAACAGGCAAGGAGATGGCCCTCTGCCCCCCGGCCGAAGCTGCCACATACCACACACATATCCTGAAGAAACACAGAAACCCAAATGTCCAACTGAGCATCCTTGTCCCACTCGGCCCCAGCAAATGCCTTCAACACTATTCTGAGAGGAAGGCAGGGATCCAGGAGCCCACCCCAAGCTTTAGGACTCTGTACGCCATCACAGGATCCTATTCCTTCCCAGGAGGCCTTGCTCATCTGTTGGCCAGGTAACTCGCAGTGATACAGCCTGACGTGGATTAAGGTAAGAAGTGAAACGAAGATAAGCTGGGTAAAGACTAGTCAGGTCGAGAGGGTACGGATGTGACAAAATTCCATCAGCTTTGAGCTTATTCAGGAGAACATACAAACTCCCTCGACTACACATCTCAATAGAGCAAAGCCCATTCCTGCCTTTCTCACTATTCCATCCCGAGCTCCTAGCTCAGGGCCAACCTCAAAGGAGACACTCAAGAGAAATCTGATGGATGGACAAATGAATGTGATCCTGATGCGCTGACTGTTTTCTGATGAGCCGGTTATCCCCACAGGCAGGTCCTTGGTTTCCCATCTACACTCCCACCGGAGCATGACACCGACGCTCAGCCTGCCCTGTCACCACCGAGGACGCTGCTCAGCCGCGCGGTACCTGCATCAGGACGAACTTGTCGGTGTTGGAGAAGAGAACCACGGTGTTCTGCATGGTGTCATCATCGTCGTCTTCCTCCTCCTTGCTGGGGGAGCTGTCGATGTCAGCGACCTAGAGCCGAGAACAGCGGAGAGTGAGGCAGGTAAATCTGCCCCGACCAAGCTGCTTTCCCTCTTTGGTTTTGAAGGACAGTGACCCCCGGGCTAACCTGAAGCCCAGGAACCTGGACTAAGGCAGAACACCCCAGCTCTTAGGCCGATGGCAGAGACTTTAGGGAGGGCTTTAGGAGCAAAGCCAGATAGGCAGGCCCCGGGCTAGCAGGGAGGCAAGTGAGTACGTAGGGAACAGGCAGGGTTTAAGGTATATTTAATCTTCTGAAGGGGCAGCTGACGTATGTTTGGGGGGTGGGAGGCGTCTCCTTACTACCAGAGTCTCAACAGAAGAAGTAGTTGACTTTAGCCGGGCCCGTCCTCTCCCGCGCCCTCCATGTGCTCCTCCTCGCGGCCGGCGTCGTCCTGGGAAACTACTGCTGCGACCCTGAGTGATGAAAAAGGACGATTACCCCACAGCCAGGGAAGCTGAAGGATCCTATGTTGGGTGCACAGGCTTGAAGGAAGAGAAGAGACAAACGGAAAGACAATGGGCAGCAAAGCCAAGGAGTCCAGCCAGGGCAGGAGGGAAAGCACCAGCATGCGGCTCTGGCCCCAAACCATGCCCCTTCCCAAGAGTGGCCAATGTGGTACAACGAGAAAAAATACTGGCTTGAGAGATCCAAGTTTCTAGGTCCAATTCTATTACTGAGTAATTACGAATCTGAGCACATTACTTCCCACCCTATGTACAGTACAGTATCCGCCTTAATAAAACAAGAGGACAGATGAACAGATCCCCGAGCGCCGAGGACCCAGCAGGCCCGGGGAGAAGGTAGCAGTAACAAAGGGCTCCACCTCTGACAGTGGCATGGCACTGATCACATCCAGTGGCTGGTGAGCTCCTCACCTGTTTGATGCGGGAACGAGCTGGGGAGCTGCGCCGCCTCCCTTTGTCCCCCTCAGCTTTGCCTCCACCAACAGCTGTCCCAGCATCACACAATAATGAGTCATCAGTCTCTGGCAACGAGTCAGTGCAGAGCCGCAGGGAGCCTTCATCTCGGGCTGGACTGACGTCTGTAGATACCCCCAACTCCATAGACAGGGAGCCACCGCCCTCGGGATCAGGAGAGCCCAGCAGGGGCTCTGAGCCAGGAAAACTGGCACTGGCATCCCCCTGGCTCAGATTGGAGATCTCATTAACGATGTCAGATTTGATCAGAGTGGGTGGGGTAGGGGCCACTGGTGCACGTGGCTCCTCTTGATCTTCACAGGGTGAGCCCTGCCCTGCCTGTTTGCATTCTGGGCCATAGACCTCCATAGGGGTCACAGGGGCCAGCTCCTCGGGATCCAGGAGCACAGGGGAACCCTTAAGTTCATTTGTCAAACTGCCAGGGGTCTGCCCAGCCTCTGGCTGTGAACTAGGAGTGTCAGTCCCATCCAGAGGGGCAGTGTCTTCCCCCAGGCCAGAGAAGTCATCCAGGGCTGGGGCAGGGCTGGGTGCAGGGCAGGAAAGGTTCCCCATGGGGGAAGGGAGAGGACTGGTAGGGCTGGGTTCCAAGGCTGGGCACTCAGGCTCTGGGATTTTCTCAGTCTCCATCTCATGAAGCTCAGCGTCATCTGCGTTCTCCACTACCTTCTTCATGGGACTCAGTGGGGAAGGAATGGACAGTGGCAGAGCAGGTGGAGAGCACTGGGAAGGAGGGGAGTTCTGGGGAGGTAAAGAATGCTGGAGGAGTGGAGAACACTGAGGGGGAAGAGGCTCCATCAGAATGGGAGAAGCCAGTCCCATGGGGGAACCTGGGGATGGGGGAAGGATCATAGGGGGTACAGGTTCAGGGTCAGTGCAGTTAGCTTCTGGAGGAGGGCTGATGGGTGTCTCTAGGATGGGGGCAGTCAATGGCGACTCAGGATCACTGTCCCCCTTGGCACCAAAGGGGTAATCCAACTCCCTCAAAGGAGACAGGGCTGGTGGGGCCACAGCTGTGATCATGGGTGAGAGCGGAGGAGGAAGAGGATCTGGAGAGAAAGAAAAAGGAAGGCTCTTAGATTATATGTGCCACTAAGAGCTAAAACTCTTTCAGAGTAAGGGGGTACTAACATCACCCTACCTGATGGCATCAATTGAGGTGACAAGGATGGCTCCTCAGATGGGGACAACGGCAGTTCTTCTGGTAGAGGGGACAGAGGTGGTTTCCCAGGCTCAGACAGGGCCGGCTCTCCAAGCAAGGGAGATAAAGGTGGCTCCCCAGGTGGGAGGAACAAGGGCAATCCCTCAGGTGCAGAGCATACACCTGGCTCTTCTGGTGGAGGGGTCAGGTGCAGTTCCTCAGGCCTGGGGGACAGGCGTGGCTCCTCAGGCCTGGGGGATAGGCGCGGCTCCTCAGACCTGGGGGATAGGCGCGGCTCCTCAGGCCTGGGGGACATGTGCGGCTCCTCAGGCCTGGGGGACATGTGTGGCTCCTCAGGCCTGGGAGACAGGCGCGGCTCCTCAGGCCTGGGGGACAGGCGCGGCTCCTCAGGCCTGGGGGACAGGCGCGGCTCCTCAGGCTGGGGGGACAGGCGTGGCTCCTCAGGCTGGGGGGACAGGCGCGGCTCCTCAGACTGGGGGGACAGGTGTGGCTCCTCAGGTAAAGGGAAAAGACACGGCTTCTCAGGTGCAGGGGACAGCTGAGGCTCCACAGGTCGGGGGGACAGATGCAGTTTCTCAGGTGTAGGGGACAGAGGTGGCTCCTCAGGTGTAAGGGACAGGTGCGACTCCTCAGGTGCAGGGGACAGAGGTGGTTCCTCTGGTGCAGGGGAGAAGTGTGGTTCCTCAGGGCCAGGGGATAGGTGTGGCTCCTCAGGGGCAGGGGACAAGTGTGGCTCCTCAGGGGCTGGGGACTGGGGTGGCTCCTCAGGCTGGGGACAGAGTTGTAGCTCCTCAGGCCGGGTATGAAGTTGCAACTCCTCAGGCAATGGTAACTCCTCCAGCGGAAGGGACATGAGTAAGCTGTCCGGTGGCGGGCAAGCAGGTGAGTCTTCAAGTGGTAGGGATGTAGGCGAGTCCTCAGGCGGTGGGAATAGGCGTGAAGCCTCAGGTGGAGGGGATGAGGGCGACTCCTCAGGCGGTGGGGACAGGGGAGATTCCTCAGGCGGTGGAGACAGGCGTGACACCTCAGGTAGGGGGCATAGGCATGACACCTCAGGAGGAGGAGACACAGGCGAATCTTCAGGTGGTGGGGACATGGGTGAGTCCTCAGGTGGTGGGGAGAGGCGTGATGCTTCAGGTGGAGGGGAGAGAGGAGATTCCTCTGGTGGAGGAGACAGAGGGGATTCTTCAAATGGTGGGAACAGACGAGACGCCTCAGGTGGTGGAGACATGGGTGACTCTTCAGGTGGAGGGGACATGGGTGACTCCTCAGGTGGTGGAGATAAGCGTGATGCTTCAGGTGGTGGGGAAGTGGGCAGTTCTTCTGGTGGAGGGGACAAGGGAGACTCCTCAAATGGTGGAGACAGGGGTGATGCCTCAGGTGGTGGGGACAGAGGTGTCTCAAGTGGGGGAGATGGGGGCGACTCCTCTGGTGGAGAGAAGGGTGACTCCTCCAGTGGAGAAAAAGGTGATGACTCAGGTGGGGGAGACAGAGGAGATTCCTCAGGCAGTGGAGAGAGAGGTGATTCCTCAGGCGGTGGGGACAGGCGTGATGCCTCAGGCGGCGGGGACGTGGGTGATTCTTCAGGTGGTGGGGAGAGGGGCGACTCCTCAGGTGGGGGCAGCAGTGGCATCTCCTCATTTAGGGGGGTGTCCAACTGGGGCTCAAGTTGGGCCCCTGCTCTCCCTGTAGACACAACACACTATGCTCCTACCTGGCTCGGTTCTAGTCCACAGAAAGCACAGGGTCTGGGGCAAAGCAGAAACTGTCCCTCGCCACAGAATAGACGGAAATTACTTTTGGGGACCCTCGAACCCTACTCACCTAGTGGTTTGGCTTCACATTGCAGGGGCCCCGGTTCCTTGGGTTGCATAGAGGTCACGTGCCCACCCTTTGGCTGCCCTTGGCATGCAACGTACAGAGCATCGGGCTCATCACTGGGGGTATCGCCAGGCTCTGGGGGTGAGAATCTGCAGAGGGTACAGGGGAGCAGGCACCGTGGCTCTCATCAGCTAACAACTCCTAGAGAGCACACTGGGGCGAGGCACGATTGCTATGGATTGTACTGCCCGCCTTAGGGTTCTCCTCTAGAAGTCCAACTGATTAAAGATGGCGCCTACCAATCTAAACACTTCCTACTCCCCATCCCAATCTCTTCCAGTCCATACCACCTACCTGTGACAGACAGGGGGATGCTGCTCAGCAACAGAACTGATAGGCTGACTTCCCTGGGCCTTGTGACAGCGGTGACAGAGCGAGTAATTTTCAAACCACTCGGAGCTGGGATTCAGCTCTGCTGAGCCTGCTCCACAGGCTCGGCACACCCGGCATGCCTGGGGAGAGGAGTGGGCAAAACAGGCACTGGTCAGACAGTCGAGGCTGGACGAGAGCACGGGACTTGTCATAGGAAAGAAACTCAGGATATTACAAGAGGCAAAATCGGGGAAATGGACAAGCAGGGGACACTCACCTTGCACTTCCAAGAATGAGCAGGCAATTCCTCCATAGGTGGTTTCAGGCAGAAGGTATGGTATCCTTTGTCACACGTCTCACAGACCAACATCTTAGAGTCATTCCCAGGTTTCCTGCAGGGGCACAGGGCACATAACAGGCTCGTGTCTGCCCTCAATTTCAACGCTCACCTGTGTTTTGCCTAAGGCTTCCGTCCGTCCCGCTCTCCCATTTACCTGCAAGCTTGGCACACTTTGCACTCAGGGCACTGCCAGCCAGCACGCTTTCGGGCAGTCAAAGCAGTGTCCAGGCAGGCCCCATGATAGTGATGCCCACAGCTGGTACAGAAGAACAGGTTACACAATTCCCCTGGTCCCTCACAAACTGCACAACGAGCCTCCTCTGCAGTGGGAAGGGACAGAGAACACAGCTAAGTTACAGATTCCTTGCAAGATTTAGCACAGTGCTGTCTGCATAACAGACAACCCATGGACAAAGAATAAATACCAAATAGTCACTGAGTGTTTGCCTAGGATATGCCTAGAACAGGCACTGTTCTAGGCACTGCAGACACCATGGTAACAAGACAGTCAAAGCCCCTTGGACTGACAAATTTCACATCTTTGTTAGTGGAGCAGGCTGACAGTATATAATTACAAACTTCCATGAGGACTCAGCGTAGAAAAACCCCAGACACACTTGGCCCCGCATGTGCTCTCTGCCCAAAGAGCAGGACTTCTCACCCAGATGCGCAGCCCCCTCACTGTGCTCCGGGCATAACAGCTGCAGTGTTTTCATGGACAAGAAGGAACCGCTGGCAGTTGCACAGGGGAAGTGGTAAAGCCGTGGACATCCGGGTGAGCGGCAAGGGATAGAGGCACCGAGCCTGGTGCAGTGGGAACAGCGCTGCCAAGGAGGAGACAAAGCCTCAGCAACAGCAGATTCTCTCCAGAGCAATAGGACAGGCACTAGAGCGCTGCCCTTCTCATTCTAGCCCAACTCGGAGGTCCTAAAGCCCCAATTAGCCCACCCTCCACCTATGCTATCCCTCGGCGCCAGCCCCACCTGTGAGATCCCTGAGAAGATGGCCTTGTCCACACCACATAGTTCTGGGCCCTCGTGCCCCCATACACCTGCCGACCACGCAGCACACCAATGGTGAGCCCAGCAGGACCCTTTGTAGGGAGAAAGAGGCAGGTAAAAAGAATTAACAAAAAAGATGATCACTGACTTAGGACCACCCTCAACCCCCCTTTCTGGCTCAAATCAGTCCATTTCCCCTCACTTACCTCCAGGTTCTCCTAAGTGGGCAGGTGTCAGGCCCTCAGGGAAACCAATCTGTGATAGGTCCTCACTGGGCAGCACTGCTTCATTGGGTCCTGGGTTCCCCCCAGGGGATACCACTGGACACTGGGGCCAGTCAAACGGCAACTCAAAGCGCTGTAGCTCCCTCTGCCCATGTAGACTAGGCTCCCCACAGTTACAGAGAGCACAACGCCGCACTGGAACCCCACTGTGGACACACAAGCATCAGCACCATGCCAGGGCCCCTGCCCACAGGCACCCCTAACAACCCCAAGATTTGGCATACCCATGCTTCCCAAATACTCATTTTCTTAAACCTTCCTCCTTGAAAGCCCCAGACTCTCAAATCATGTTCCCTCCATACCCTATGTTACCCAAACTAGTTACCTGCAGTCCTGGGGAGGCTCCTGAAGCCTGAGACCCCCAGAACTGGGTACAGCGACCTCCCCCACGTGTGGGTTGGGAAGGTCTTGCTCAGTGGTGCCTGACTCCTCGGAGGCTGCAGGTCCATCAGCTGAATGAACAGAGAAACACACATCATCTTCTATTTAGTATTAGCCCACACTCATCAGACCCATGTTATTATCCAAAACCCCTGGGAGATCACAGTGATGGCATTTCAGTTTTGTCCCCAAAGTCCTTCAATTACCAATACATTAGACAGACTTAACACCTATCCTTGTGCCAGGACCAGAGATCTAAGATTGCCTGGGGAGAGGAGAAAGCTGTCAGCAAATGCAAACATTGCCCTACTCACCAGCCGGTTCTGAATCTTTATCCTCACCAGGCAGCTTCTGGCTGTCCATCCCTCTCTCCGACTGGGCAGGGCCCTCTCGGGGAGACCTGTCAGTGTCGAGATATCTTTTTAGAAAGTCTCCCCATTTCCCCCACAATCCTAGAACAAAGGCAATAATGGTATCTATACCCCAAAGAAATCAGAGCAAACTCCTCTACTAATGATAAAGAAAATCATTCTAACTCTTATCCCACAACCTACTTCCTCCCCAAATAAAGACCATATTCTCCTCTCCCACTGGATTCTCAGGGGACCCACTGCCAGCCTCCTGTGTAGGAATTCTCTGGGAAATAGCACCCATCAAGAAGAACACCCAGTCTGTCTCTAGGATCATCCTTTGCCTCATCTCTTGAGTTCTTGGCTTCTGGTGGGCCCTACACCCCTGGCCTTTTTCAAGTCTCAAGTCAAGCTACCATCCTAGAAGCGTGTCAGTGCCAACCGAGGGGTAGTCTGGCCCAAATCCCTCTCCCAAAAACAGAGTCTGGGGTATTGCAGGACATAAAACACATTATTAGAACTAAAGCCTGTCTATGGATGTATCTCTTCTACTTTTACTGGTTTCCATCAGGTTATCTCAATCACAACAGAAAAAACTCCCCAATTTCCACCCATGGCCTATCCAAATCCTGCTCATGTCTACCCACTGGCCTGACATGACTGACCTCCACCCAGTATGAAGGCCTTAACTGTTGCCCTTAGCAACGCCAACTGCCCTTCTTCCTCAGATGTCTCTAGTAGTTAACAGAAGTGGGCCCTAGGAGTTACTGAGCATGTGTAACCAGGCCTGAAGCTAGGCATGCTGGGAGTTGTAGTCTCAGGAAGCACACCACCACTCGGAGTTCTAAACAGGGCAGGACACAGCAGAATAGAGGAGCTTCCTTCCTCTTCTGTCAAACAAGGTTTCCACACACACTGGGGGGGGGGGGGTGGAGGGGGAGGTGCGGGGGGGGGGCGGTGGTAACGGTCCCCTCTTCGAAGATATGCCTGCTTATGCCAACAAACTAAAGTTAAACCTTTGGGTATATTTTCCTAACCCTCAGAGGGAACTAAGCACAGTACAAAAAAGACAGGAGTAAAGAATAAGAAGAATTAGAGGTGAGGAAGAGGAAAGAAATCTGATAGAAGGGAAAAAGGAATAGGTGCCAGCAGCTCTCAGTAAGAAAAGGCAGGAGCTTAGGCAAAGAAAGCAAGTATAGTATTCCTACAGGAGGGGCTGGGGGTGGGGAGATCTCTAAAACAAAATGCTAAATGAAAGTTTGAGATATTTATTTCTCACCTTTTCCTATCTTGTTTAACCAAAGGTACCACACCAACCTAGTAAGGACAAACCCAATACCAAATACCTCAGCCAGCCACTTGGGGTTGAGTGACAGGAGCAGATGAGACATGGGGAACCCTCAAAAGTGCCCAAGACAGGCAAATCAATTAACTGAGAACCACAATATTACTTCTTCCCTTCCCAGTGTGAGGGGAAACAGAGCTCACACTCCATTTTCAGAGACTGGTAACATACCTTCTGTGACATGTCACAGGAAAGGAAATTATTTTACTTCCCCACACACATGCACTAGGTGGAAAAGTAAAGTATCACCTGATACTGTTACCTCCATTCTCAAAGCAACTCTTTCCCAAACCTGACACATAACTACAATTGAAAAGCAAGCAGTACTCAGAAAAGCTGCTCCGGAACTTCAAGGGACCCTTAGAAGCCATCTATGGGAAGCAGGAGTCGGAGGTCTGCAGACCAGACAGGTCCCTCTTCCTACTCACTCATTCAAGGCCTGACCACACCCTGAAGACTTCAAAGTTTCCCAAATGTGTTCATCTTACTGTATCTTGCCACCACATTCCCCTAAAGATCTCCCACCTGCTCTGCTCTCAAAGTTGAGGCTAAAGGAGTCACAAACAGCAAGAAATAAAAAGCAACAGTGATAATACAGTGGGTGGGAGGACTGCCTCACACAAGGCCAAAGGAACAAATTCCTCTGCCTCCCCCAAGGCACAGCCTATCCAGCTAGTAAGGCTGGTACTGCCTGGGGAAGTCCAGAACCCACCTTCACCCAGCCCTGGAAGAGAGTACCAACATCTTCCAAGCCAGAGTGCTGTTGGTGGGCCCATAGGAGATAAGAGATCAAGAAGTGAAAAGTAGAGTGTCCTCCAAGCTTCACCAAAAAGAACATAAAGGCACCTCCAAGAAGCCTGGTGTCCTGATGTTTATTCCCCTGTCCCTGCAAGTCTGGCACCTGCACCCCAATGCCAAGTCCCAGTTAGCAGGCCCCTGAGATCTAAACAAATAAAGACCACAGGTTCCCCCGTCCCATCATTCACAGCCAGAAACCACAAATACACTTATACACCAAGGTTTCTTTTCCCCTGGATCTAAACTGGGCTAATGCCTGGCCAGGCTTCCTTTGGGGAGCTAGAGATCTCATAGAAGCAGAGATCTAGTGAGTAAAACTGCTGGTTCCTGTAGTCCTAGGTCTAAGGGGTCCAAAACAACAGGGAGAAAGGCAGGAATTCATCCCAATCCACTCTCCTCCCTGCCTCCATCCCAGACTAACAGCTTTCATTCAGTTTTCCCAGCCAAAGGGGAAATGGAGGCTTGGGGAGGTGAAAGGCTGAAGCAGGCCCTTGAGTGAACAGCTCCTCTGTAGGACTCAGGACTTCCTGGTTCCCAGCCTGAGAATCAAACCATACCTCTCCCCACCCCCACTCTGGGGCAGACCTCCAGGAAGAAAACAAATGGCAACACCGGCCCTCTAGACCCTCCAGTCCATTCCTGGGTCATCCTGGCTTAGTCCCAGCTAACAATCAGCGGTCCCTCCTGAGAAGTTCTTTGGGGACAGACAACAGGAGGGGCTCTCCATAGAAGGCAGGGACAGAGCATGGGTGACAGCTAGCTTCCGTCTATCACCCGGTACCACCTCTAACCTCAGGGGTAACCACCCAGAAATCTTTCAAGGGCAAATCCCCTATTTTCCCCTTTCCAACTAGATTCAAAGAGAACTATATATGTTGGAGGGGGTGGAGTGAAGGAGCAAAAACACACCAGTCAAATCCCTGCAGGGCAGCATGACAGCTGGGAGAGGGGCTGTCCCAGTCCAGGGTCCAGAGGAATGAGGTCCATCCTGAACCCTCCATGCACTCACATACACACCCCTTCTCCCTAACACTTCCTGCCAGGGCTAGAAACATGGGCTCCAGGAGAAACAGCTCTAATCAGATCATTTCTCCTCCAGAGAGGTACTGGCCACTCTAATCTGCAGGGTTGGGACAGGATCAGAGGGTCAGTTAACAAACAGTCCCTGTTAACGGAAAGGGGTTGGAGAGGTCTGGGAGGGGCCTACAGGATTGGCCAGGGACTTATGGCAACCAGTTCTCCCCACCAGGCCCCTAGAAAGCAGGAGACAAAAGCCATTTTTGTAGCCACATTCACCAGGAGCAAATCTCAACGGTGTCCTCTATAATCCCCTAGAGATTATGTCCATCCAAAGAGGGGAGGCAAAGCAGGCTAAGACAGCACTAGGCCTCACTAGGGTCACTTGGCCCAGACCCGGGTAGTTTAAAGTTGAACAAGACCAGAGCTGCCCCCAGACCCACCTCCTTCTTGCCTCAGCCACCCCTTTTCATCTCTCTAGTCAATTTCCACTCTCTCCCCTTTGCCGGGTGAAACGAGGCCTGGTTAGGGATCTTGGGTTTCTTGAGTTTCCCAAAGACTTTTTTTTGCCAGGGATGGCCAAAACAACCTTAAAGTCCAGTCTGGCGGTAAGTCTGACTTAGCAGTGGCACCTTCCTACCACCACCCCAAGTTGTTCTGTTCCCCAGGCTCACAAGGAACCCCGAGAGAGAAGCGGTCACCTGGGGTCGGGGTTGGCATCAGGGCTGGGGTCCTACTTTAGGAGAGCTCCCCCCAACACAAAAAATAAACCGGCAGAGAGACGATCTGGCCGGGTTCCCAAACTCCCCTGGTTCCCTGAGCACCCCCCACCCCCCCCCCCCGGTCACCCCGTCTTTAAAGAGGCACACACCCCACGACACCAGGCCTCGGTTCTGTCGAGGCAACTGGCTCAGGTTCCCTTGACAGACCCTGCCAAAGGAGCCCTCCTCTGCTCTGGCACCCCTTTCTCCAACCTCAAGGCCAGCTCCGGCCAAGATAGTCCATCTGGCTATGCCCCCAGTCCAACCCCTTCTGGGCCCTGGCCGGCGGACTTCACTCACCTCTTCACAGGGCGGTCCAGAAATCTTCATCCGAGAACATGGCCAGAGCCCGGGCCGCTCCCCGACCTCCAACCGCCAGAGTGATCCCAGACGCCCCCCGCACGGGGGGGCTCGGAGGGGCCAAGAACGGTAAATCCAGTTCGGAGTGGCCGCCCTCCCCCCCCCCCAAAAAAGGGCACGAAGTCAAAGAGGGGCTCGCTGCCGCGGGGTCCAGCAGTCTAGGTTTCCATGGGCAGCCCCAGGGCGGCGAATCCCGAGCGGACACAAAGAGCGCACCGGCGGCTTTGATCTCGGGCGAGCAGGCTCCGCATCCGCGTCGCCGGGCGGCCTCTCAGGCGCAGGCCGGGCCAGCGCCCCGGCCGCCCGCGCCGGGCTCGGGCGGAACGTCGAGGCGCTCCAGATGGAACGTCGAGGCGCCTCCCCGCCGCCCGGAAGGAATGCCGCGCCGGGCGGGCGGGCGGGCGGGCGCGCCGGGGCCGGGGCCGGGCCCTCGCCCCTCTCCCCGCCGGGCCGGCGCCCGGGGCCGCGAGCGCTACGGCGAAGCGGGGCCGGCGGGGCGGCGGGGCTGCGCCTGACACACACCCAGCCCGGGCGCCGCGGCCCGGAGCGCGCCCCCCGCGACTGGGCGCCCCCCCACCGCGCGCCCCCCCGGGAAGGGAGAGGGCGGGTGGGCGCGGAGGAGGAAGGGGCGGGCGGCGCGAGCCCTCTGCCCGCTCCCCGCCGGCCGCGCCAGGCCCCGCGCTCGCCTCCCTTCCCCTCCGGCCTCGGGCGCTGCCCCGCCCCCGGCCTGGCCGCTCGGATCCGCTACGCCCCCGAGACCCCCGGCTGGTTGCGATCGCGGGGGGCCTAGAGGTGCATGGCCCGGCCCCGGCTCCCGGCGCCGGGGGGTCAGGAAACTGAGCGGAAAGTGGGGAACGAGGCAGCCATTTGCAACCGGAGAGGAAAGTAGTGCAGCGCGGCCGCTCCGCCTCCCCCCTCCGCCTCCTGGTCGGCCGGAGGGTGGTTCCTGCGAAGGGGCGAGTTCCCGGCCCGAGATCTCGGCAGCGGTCGTGGAGATCCAGGAAGCCTCCGGCGCGAGATCCAGGGGGGCCTTTTGCCCGGGGAACCCCACTCGAAAAGGGGAGAAAGGAGAAGACGCGGCCCTATTTTGTGTTGGAGCGGAGCGGCGGAGGGGGACGGCCCTATCGGACGAAAAGCTGTGACTCTGCAGTTCTACGCACACGCCGCGGATCCCTCCGCCGCGGGTTAACCCCTGCCGCGCCGGGCCGGCCGCCGCGCCGACACGTGGGGCTGAGTTGCCCCTCCGCGCCGCCCGCGCGCTCCCGCGGCCGCCCCGGCCGCCCGGGCCGCGAAGCGAGGACTCCGGCCACTTTCTGATTCTGTTCCCTCGGCGCTAGCGGTCCCTGAAACTCCACTGCCCCCTTCCCTCGGGCGGGAGCAGGCTTTCCCGGGAGGGGGTTGGAAGAAGAGGCTGGAGATTGGCCGCTGCTCGGCATCCTGGGAACTGGAGTCCTCGAATGGAGAAAGTGAGGCAGGGCGCCTGGCTGCTGAGGAGGAGCGCCCGCCGGGCTCGGGGCCGACCGGCACGAGCCCCTAGTCGTTCCTCTGAATCTCAGACCCCTTAGTGAGGAAGAAGGACTGTCAGTGTCCCACAGTCACCCCCACACACGCCGCCCTATCGCAATGTGCATGTGGAGTTTCCCTGGTGTACCTATTCCTAGCCCCAGTTTCTCGGGATACTCGAGGCCCGAGCCCCTTTTTAGGTAAACAGAGGGGATGTGTCTTGGAAGCTTGAGGCTACCTGGCAGGGGTACTGTGCATCTAGACAAAATCCCCAAACACCCAGCTCCTCATAAATCTGGGTAAGAAACTGAATGCCTTCTGCATTCACTTTACCCACTGGGTTCACGGAGTGGACAGGAGGAGAGCATGTGCTAGATATTTCATGTACTTATTTATTCCTCGTTATGAGTAACATGTAATTATTTCCGTTTTACAGATGAGATTGCGCTAAAACGGGTTAAATTGCCCAGAGAACCTCAGCTAGTAAGTTGAGCCCTGATTCATACAAATGGTGGTGCTTTCCTAGCATTTATATGTGTGTATAGGGATGTGTGTTCGTGTGTGTACTCATGTGCATAGACACACATACATATATATATATAAATAAATGAGGGGGGAATTCTTAAAGAAAGATATGGAAAGAGACAAGCAAATCAGGTGCAGGACTGTTTTTGTGGGAAAAGGCTTTCAGGCTGTCCAATACAACTTTCTGCAATGATAGAAATGCACAATATTTACATTAATATGGCTTAGCCATGTGTAGCTATTGAACACTTTGAAATGGAGGTGGTGCAACTAAGGAACTTTTATTTAGTTTTAATACTAACTTACACCAAACTAGCTTTATGTGACTTGGATATGAGGCTATTTCCATATTGGACAGGCCTAAATGTCTTCATAGTCATAGGAGGGATCAGGATTAGATCTGTCCTCCACCAGCCACACAATGACAGCATGTGCCCTGCACTGACATCACATCTATTTCAACAAGAGTCCAGCAGTCATCCCACACCTGCCCCAGCTGAAGTAAAATAAGTTCTCCAAGAGACATTGGAAAATGGAAGTGTGCTACCTGCTTTCTGACGCAGGGAAAAGACCCTCACCAGATAGCCACCATTTCTTTAGGGTTTATTGTGCATGAGGAACTATACTAAGTATTTCATGATCACCTCATTTAATTAAGAAGGTTTAACTGCACTTCATAAACAAAGACCTGAGTTTCAAAGATGCTAAATAACTACCCAAGGTCACACAGCTACCCCAAGGCGGTAAGTAAGCACTATTCTTTACTGCTATCAAACCCTGATGTTGCTTAATATACTTCTAGAAAACATCTAGGCATGTGCCCTTCTGAGACCTCATGGAAATGGTAGCAGGAGAGTTGGTCCCTCCTGCTTTTTTTGTATATCCAGGTCAGATGTACAAAAGGACTTAATCTAAATGTAAGGAGAGGGGGTAATGATGACCCTAAAGAGATTCCTTAACTACTGAGATCGATCTCTGGAGTATGCTTTTTCCAGCAGCCCCTATTACTTTTTAGATTTTTGGGTCAGAGATGCAAAAGCAGCTGGCAGTACTTTTGAAAACCAGCATGTCAAACCATCATCCCCACCTGTAAGCCTAACCAGCCTGGGGCCCAGTGCTAACAAGGTCACAGCTAATAATCACACCTAGATTTTGTCAGCTCTCCCTAACAAAGTTACCTCAGACTTCCGTGGTTGGCAGAAGTCTGTGCCTTCCCTGTGGATGATTACTATTTAGGTAACCCTTATAAGTCCTTGGAGGAGGTATAAACCCTAGGGCTGGAGTGAGTGAGGGTGAGGGGCAAGACAAGTAGAGGCAGATAAGAACAAACCTTCCTCATTGACACATCCATCCATTCTACTGAGCTGCTGGATCAATAAAGAAGGGCAGAAGCAATTTTTAAGGGCTTAATACCTTAAAAAGGTAGCACAACTCCAGAGGTGTGGAAGGTATGCAAAGGTCATTACCAAAAGCATAAAGACAGCAAAAGACATCCATTTTAATGAAAGACACCAGAGACATGGAGGGGCAGGGAGACTAATACAAAGCAGGGGCATTATTTCTTACTTAACTGTGGGAAAGCCAAATTCACTTTAGTCCCTGACTCTCCACTCCTCAATTAGAAATGAGATGCATCCTTCCTCCTCTCCAAACCTTACCCTCTCTCAGTTCCAGCAAATGCCAAGGCCCCAGGATGGACGCCAGGGCAACATGTGGGAGCTGGCCACTAGAGGGTGGTGTTTCTGTAGTTAAGGGGATCCTTGAAGCCCTACAAATTTGGATGGGAGTGGCAGCCAACTGGTACCTTTACATTATAGCAAGAAGCCAGTAGAAAAGTGAGTGTTAGGGCAATTATCCGGAGTGAGTGAGGAGTAAGGAATAGAAATGAGGTAGGAAGAAAGAATTAATCCTGATTTTCCATCAAAGGCCATCAACAAGGATATTGGCCACAGCTCTCCCCAGAGGCAGAGAAATAAATGATAAAAAGATTCCTCAATTTAGGGCCTCCCTGGTGGTGCAAGGGGTTAAGCACTGCACTATGAAGCAATCCACAGCCTCTGCAGCACGAGCTCCATCCCCAGCAGGCCAGGGAGAAACCCACATGGCAAAGCAGACCTCTCCTGTCTCTCCCATTGCTCCCCTCAGCAGTGTATTTCAGTCAGTCTGCCTGTTCTGTTCCCCACTCTGTCTCTGGTGAATCCTCTCACCCCCTGCATCTCTGGCCTGTATCCCAGCTCTTGTATGCATAAATAAATAAATCTTAAAAAAAAAAAAAAGATTCCTCAGTTTATTTGCATATATACATTGTCAACCCTAGGGAGCCAGCTCCACTTCGGGTATCCAAGCTCCTCTCACCCACCACACCCAAAACCTACATAGGAGACTGGGTCCTAAATAAACAATGCCCAAGAATCATATTCCAACCCTGCAGGTTATAACAACTCATCTAGGGTTAGAGGTCAGTGCCCATGAGACATCCTTGCCCCTTTGTAAACATTGATAACCAGACTCCTGGAGCCTGGGTAAAGTGTGCAACATGAGGGTATGCCCAGAGGGCCAGGGACACACCAGAAACCATAACCATGAAGTCTTGTGGTTTTTGCCCCTGCTGGAACCTAGCAAGTGCCAGGTCCAAAATCAAGACAGCTATTCTATGCCGAATGGATCACATGAGACTGCAGTGGCGCTCTTGTCCATAGGAATTCTCTACCCGGGCAATCTCCTGGATGACTTTGGAGAAGATGCCTCGCGTCAGCTACAAGGCATAGATTCAGGGCAAAAAAAGAAAGTTAGTTCACTACTAATAACACCCAGCCCAAAGGTAAACATCCCACCCCTTCTCTATTCCCCCACCAAGTAGTACCATAAGAAAAATACTGCTAGCCCCCCACCCGTCTAATCTTCAGGTCCAGCACCTGATTCTCTCGAGCAGATGACTCCATAAATGTTGCACCCCAAGACTCTGCCAGCTTCTTCCCTTCAATTGCCTGGACCTCCCTAGAAGCAAATATGGGAAATGAAGGTGGAAGATTAACAATAACCCATGTTCTTTGCAAAATCTTTAGACTCTAGACTTCCTCTGATCTACCCCCACTTCCCTGAGGTTTCAGAGGAAGGTTAGAGAAGGAGAAAAATATAGGAAATCAAGCCTAGGACTGAGGGTTGAAATAAAAAAATCTTAGCTTCTGCAATAGAGGGGTTATCTTGTCTTAACCTTCAAATTAGAAACAGAGTAGTGAACTGACTTGCTCAAGTCAATGCCAGAGTCAGAACTACAGCCTGACTGACTCGTAGTTCAGCTGCTTCACCTTAAGCTACAGAGATTTCCATACCTCTCTGGTGAGAGATCTGCCTTGTTTCCCACTAGCACCACTGGCAGCCTGTAAGAGAATAACAGTTACTACAGGACTCCCTCTTATTCCCCATGGATTCCAACTTCCTTTACATCAGAACTGGAGAGCGCCCCATCAGACAGGATGTATATCTCAGCCTCCTCAAACTTGGACCAACACTCCCCTTCACTTGCTTCTATCCTGTCATGTCCACACTGCGACTCTATCCCCCAGGACCACTTACCGAGTTTTCCCATGACCTTCATGCAGCTTCTGGTACAGATTCTCAATGACGTGGAAGCTTTAAACACAGGAAGCAGAGTTACAGCCTTATTCTAGGAACTAACTCAGATACCCCAAATCCCTTACTGGCAATCTTCGTCACTTACCTATGCAGAGAGGTGACAGAATACACAAGCACATAACCGTGGACCCCAATGATGAATGAGTAGGGCAGAATGCTGTACTCATCCTGACAAGAAACAGAAACATCAACACCTAAGTCCACAACACTCAGATGGCAAGTTAGTGGGACTATTCTGGGGACCCTGGGGACTCTCCCTGGGATGCATCCTATTCCAGTGACTACTGTTCAACAAGTATTTATAGAGTAGCTCCAATAAAGTGCTGCACACTGCTGCTATTAAAATGCTTTTCTTTTAATACTACTTTACAGATGAGTCGCAGAGGTTACCAGACTTCATCTCCCAGGACTGATCAGATACCCTACCCCAAACTGGTACCTGCCCTGCTGTGTCCACCAGGTGTAGGTGAAACTCATCTTTGCCAAGAGTCACTATCTTGCTGTAAGCTGAAAAGAAAAAAAACTTCACTGTGAGGTGCCTTGCAGGACCAGCAGTGTGTGCCCCCACACTTTCTTAGCCCTGGAAGTGACAGAGATGGCCCGCCTCCAGGGAGTTTTCTGAAGAGATCATGTTAGGGTTCTTATTATCTTATCACCTGCCTGTGAATCTTAGACTTAGTACCTTGTGTCCCTCTTGGACTCAGTATCTTTCAAAATCCACACTCTAGCTCCACCAAGAGAACAGGATACTGAGAGAAGGGATTAGATTTATGTCTAGTTAAATAAACCTGTTAGCACCAGGCAACTCCCAAATCATGGAGTCGGAGATGGGGCCCCCAAACCCTCCCTACCCCATCCCTAAAGGAAAAGTCCACTCACTGTTCTCCACTGTAGGGTCATAGCCTTCGAGGAACTCGCCCTCCACAAACTGATGTGCCAAAGATGTCTTCCCTGCGGGAAACAGTGATACTTGTACCCGTGCCATCCATTCTCTGTCTTTTTCCAGCTGTGACCCAGAACTAAGGGGGAACCCCAAATTAGCACTCCAGGCGGCGCATCCCGTGCGATACTTCACCCTACCCTTCCATCACCCCCCATTCTCACCCTGGCCTCTGCACCCTGGCGACAACGGCGGGGCCTTTCCCCGCCCCACCCGGGAAGATCCAGGCGACCCTGCACCAGAACCGCCACGCACCCGCGCCTTGCAACTTGCTCCCCACACCCCGTCGGGAAAGCCTGACCCTACCTCCCAGAATAATGCTGGGGCCGTTCTGATGCTCCTGCAGCCAAGCGCTCATTAACCCTTCATGCTCCCGCCTCCTGCAGCCTCCACGCCCCAGCACACTCCAACACCCCCTCCGCCATCCTCCCCAGCGCGCTCTGCGCCCGCTCCCAGCGCTGCCACCCTTGCTCCCGGGGCCCGGCCCTGGAGCGCGCCCCCGGCCCGCCCGCGCCCCGCCTCACCTACGGAGCGGTACCCCAGGATGACCACCTTCCTGTAGCGCACGAGCGCCATGGCGCCGCCGGCCCGCCGGGCTCGCAGACGCGCCGGCCGAGCGCCCTAAGAGGCGGCCAGAGGCGGCAGCGCGGGAGAGGCGCGCACCCCGAAACTGCCGGGGGCCGGGGAGACGGAAACCAATACGAGCGCCGCGCCCGGCGCCGGCCACGTGATCACAACACAGCGAGACCCGGGCGGAGGAGCCGGCGCCGGGAACCGCCGCGCGCGCCGCCCCGGCCCCGCCCCCGAGGCCCGCCGCCATTGGTCCAGCCGGCGGGGAGGGGCGGGGCCTCCCGCGGGAGGGAAGGGCGGGCCTCACGTGGAGTGGGAGAGCCGCGGATGCGCGTGCGCAGACCCGGACTGGTTCATTCATAAAGAAACAGAAAGCAACCCGGGGTCCTAGAGGTGTTTGCCGTTTGCAGCCGAGCACAAGTGGTTGCGAAGAATCGTCGATGGAAAATAGCCATTGTGGCTGGACTAGAGTTTATGTTCCAAAGATTGTAGGCCTCTCTTTTGCAAGATCTCTGGAGTCCTTGGCTGGGGGTGGGGGGAAGGCCAAAATTCCAAAATATTTCTCTTTCCCCCGCCTTCAGCTCCGATCTTTTTTTTTTTTTTTTAAAGATTTGTTTATTTATGCATACAAGAGCTGGGGTACAGGCCAGAGATGCGGGGTTTGAGGGGGGTGAGAGGATTCACCAGAGACAGAGTGAGGAACAGAACATGCAGATTGACTAAAATACACTGCTGAGGGGAGCAGCAGGTGAGTCAGGAGAGGTCTGCTGCGCCTTGTGGGTAGCTCCCTGGCTGGGGATCGAACTCATGCTGCAGTGGCTGCTGACAGCTTCATAGGTTGTGTTTTAACCCCTTGCACCACCAGGGAGGCCCCAGATCCAGATCTTTTATTGTCAAGTTTCCATAGCCATCCAGGATCTAACTTCGGGACTGCAATTCATATTTTTGGGAAAATTAGAATTTGTAGCCGTGTTGTATGTGGTTTTATCATCTCTCAATGCATTTTTTTTCAACAAATATTAAGCATATACGGTATATTACAGACATTGCTCCAGCTTTGGGCCTAGATTAACAAACATGACAGACGTGCTCTCTGTGCTCTGGAAGCTTAAAACTTGTGGGGAGAGGCACACATATAAACAAAGAAATATTAGCTAGTTAAGTACTATAAAAGGTGGTGTAAAGACATGACCACTTTAGATTAGCTATACTTCCTCTCAAAGGAAGCCCCCACTTAAACTGAGGTCTGAATGACAATAAGGAACCAGCTAGTAGAAGTTTCCAACAGAAGACTCCTTCAGTGCTAAAGTGCTAAAATGGAAATAAATTTGTTAGTTTCCAGGGGAGAGAGAGACCAGTTGGGCTAAAGGAGATGAACTCTTAGATACTGGCAGGGTCCAGGTCATGTAAAAGTTTGGGCTTATTCTGAGTACTCAGAAAGTTTTAATGGTGAAGTTGGGGTGTGACATGATCTGGATTATGTTTCTAACAGATCTCCCTGGTTGTGTAGAATGGATTCAGGTTTGATGGGGCCAGGAGCAAAAGGGTCATCACAGAGATCAGCTAGGAGGCTGTTACTTGTATTTCTGGTGAAGGTGACTTGACTAAAATAGAAAATTCAGGATATGTTTGAGGCTGAGGTCAAACTGACTTGTTAAAGGATTTGTTATATATAAGAGGTAAGGGATGGGAAGAGAGGGAAAAAAATAGCCAGATTTAGAGTGCTGATTTGTGCCAGGTGCCTTTCATTATCTCATTTAGTATTCACAACAATCTTTAGGTTGATAATTGGTATTTTTCATTCCTTTACCAACACATATTTGTCAAACAACTGCCACGTACCATTCCCATGCTGGGAATAGAGCAGTGAGCAACACAGACAAGGAGCAAATATTCTTTTGGGAGAACACTAACAATCTAGAAGTAGACAGTAAATTATAATTTAAAAAGTAGTAATTGCAATGGGGGGGAACAAGATATTAATGGGCTAGAGAGTAATTTAGGATGTGAAACTCCTCTTTTTTACATATATAATATCTTAGAAAGCCTGACAAAGTGACATTTGCTGCTGCCTGATACTTGAATGATGTTAGCTCTAGCACCCTTTTCTTACAGGTGTAGAAACTCAGATTGAGTCCCAGTTATTTCTTCTGGAAGGCCACCTAATGAAATTGGTATGTAGGAATTAGATTGTACTAGAAGAATGGCTTTGTAAAACTATAGAACCATATAATGCTTTAAAAAGTCCAGATGTACAAAAGCTGTTTCAATAGAGTCACTTCTTAATCTTACCTCAGAAAGGAACCCAGATACCTTTTCTATTGAGTAAAGGAAATTCCTTGCAGATTAGCAATTTTGTGTTGGGTTATTGGACCTGAGTGAGTTTTTGGTGATTCCAGGTTGGGTTTTAAGCTCTGTAGAACAGAACAAAGAACTGGATTCAGTTAAGTTCAGTAAAAATGTATTCGTCACCTACTTTGTGGTAGGCTCTCTTACACTATGTTGCACACTAGAAACAGTGGGCATATAGATAAATAAGATACAGATAAATAAGAGATGCTTTTTGTGCTGTTTATCTTTCCAGATTAACTCTTCACCCTTTTCTACCCAGATTTGTGTCCAGAAGGCAGACCTGGGGGTCAGCCAAAGGGGAACACTTACAGAAGACCAGATAGAAGAAGAAAGTGTCTGTGTCCACCCCTAAAGATCACTAAACACACACACATTCTGGAAACATATCTCTTTCTGTTTCCAGTGCTCCTCTGCTCATCCTCAGGCCTGCTCTAGTAACAACCTCACCATTACTCACCTTGGAGTTCAGTTGTAGGCCTTTTTGGTTTCCCTATACTCCGCCCATACCTTTGTATAGTCTCTTTATTTAATCATTCTCCAATTCTCTTGTTTTCAGTCAGGAAGAAAACAAAAGAACTAAGACAAAGAGCTTTTGGCTTTTTCTTTTTTATACAGGAAGAGAAGATTTCACAGCAAATTTTCACTTACATTTCCTTAAACAAAATTGTATGATCTCTAGCTGTGTGATCTCTAGCTGAAAAACTGTAGTGTTTTCTTTCCCAACCTCTACAGTAAGGGAAGATAAAAGAGAAGGTGATTAGGAATAAATGTTTATTGAACCAATCTATAGGACCTGTGTATCCAGAAACCAAGATATCTGTTCATTAAATCTCAATCACCTTAAAAGTATTGCATAAATGGTTACTTTGCAAAGATGACAGATATACAAAGATCACCAACGTAGCATTAAATAAAGGAAGCAAACTATCCTAACATTAGGTAAATGTGCTTAGAACAAAATTTCTAGTGACTGCATCCCATATTGCTATGTCTCCAACAACTTAAGACAAAAATGCCTGAAATGCCTTCAGAAAACTGTTTCAAGTATCTCTGTGAAAAGTGAAAATATTTTTACTATGTTTGCAGCAAAATTATGGGTTCTATTACACAGGTCTTTAGGGCTTCTTGGTTTTCCAGCTTTGATGGAGAAACAATTGTGGATTCATCTCCCAGATGACTTGATATTTATCAATTCTTGCATAACAAACTATATCAAAACTTGGTGGTTTAAAACAACAGTAATGTAATCTTTCTTAGGATTCCTTGGGTGAAATTAGAATTCTTCTGTTGTCTCTCCTGGACTCATTCATATGGCTACCATGAGCTGGAAGCTCACTGGGAATGGGGCCTGGGGACTAGCTACCTGCCAGGCTTCTTTCTCTCTGCACATGTCCTCCATCCTTGGGATAAAAGTGGGGTGTAGGCCAAAGGTACAGAGGGGGCTGTTGGTGAAAGGACTCAGCAGAGACAGGGTAGGGAGCAGAACAGGTGGATTGACTGAAATACACTTCTAAGGGGAGCAGCGGGCAAGACAGCAGAGGTCTGCTGCGCCATGTGAGTCACCTCCCTGGCCGGGGATTGAACTCATGCCACCGTGGCTGGCGATAGCTTGATAGTGCTGAGACTTTAACCCCTGTGCCACCAGGGAGTCACTGAAAGGCGTTTTTAATGATGGTGTGGAGAGAGTATTGAATTAATGTGGTCTTTTCTGATAGGTGGATTTTGAGGCACATCTGAGATGTTCACATATTGATAGACCAGTTAGCCTGAGTCCACAGCCATGCCACAGAAAAATAACCAGAACACACAGCATGTTCCTTGCATGTTCCTGGTGTCTGATTCTCCTCTCCTCTACTCTTGACTTTCTGCTAGCACAGGGTATGATAAACCAACCCATTTCAGGGAAATAGTGTAAATAGGAAGTGCTTAGTTCTTCTCAGGGGAACTTGCTCAATCCAGAGACCACAACCAGCAACTTACAAAATAGTTGAATTGAACCTATTAGAGCTAGATGAACTTGGTGATGATCAAGTATAACTGCTCTCAAACTGGGATCCACTTCAGAGTCATCTGGAACGTTTTTAATGCAAAGGTTGTTGGGCACTACCTCAGAGTTTTGACTCAGGAGGTCCAGGCAGGACCTAAGAATTTGCATTTGAATAAGTTTCCAGGTGATATGAGGTTGCTGCTCTGGGGACTACACTTTGAGAAGCTCTGACACAGCACAACTTTTCTGTACTACAGTTAGGGAGACTACCACCCAGAAAGACAGCAGCAAAATATTGGGGAAAGAACATTGGACTTTTCATCAATCAGATCTGGCTTCAAATCCTGACCTTTTCACTATATGATCTCAGGCAGTTTACTTAACTGTTCTAAGCCCGTTTCTCTCATAAAATATAGTTAGAAAAATAAGATAGAGGATATTTGTCATCTGCAGAAAGATTGAGTTCCAGGGCTACCAGCCTCGGAACACAGACACAGTCTTCCTGTGACCTGTTTAAATCCCTCTGGAATCAAGTACTCATTTTTTAAAAGATTTATTTTTATTTATGCATACAAGAGCTGGAGTATAAGCCAGAGGTGTGTGGGGGTGAGAGGATTCACCAGAGACAGAGTGGGGTACAGAACAGGCAGCTCTACTGAAATACACTGCTGAGGGGAGC